AAACTTGATCAGCTTGAGACCCCGGGCAGTCAGCCCACCCCCCCCTCACCACCCCGCAAACTCCCAGAGCACTAAAACATGTGCTATGTGATGTGTTAATTATCACCAGTGGCACAAAACCAGCATTCCCAGAACTGGTGTTCCTGGGGCTCTCTACTCTAATCCCATTCCCTGCTCTCTCTCTCTCTCTCTCTCTCTGTGCCCTTGAGTTCAGTCTGGGAGTTTGTTGACATATCTGTGTGTGTGTTTCCCAGCTCCTGGCTCAGTGCTTGGGGTGTGTCCGTATATTCTATATAATTTGTGGTGTATGAAACGCATTATAGGAATTCCGAGCCTGAGGGGGGGATGGAAATCCTGACAATTCCGACTGTGTGAATTCTGGGAATTTGCAGTGCTCGGCTGGGATTACATTGGAGCGCACGGTGAAAAATTCCCGTTAGGTAACAGCTGGGAACAAATGTCCTCCTGATCTGGGGGCTGTGAGCTTGCCCAGGTGGGAAGGGTATGGGGGGAGCCTGTGATCCTGTGATGCTATTGGAAAAGTGAAGTGGCTGACAATCCCTTTCTCCCCCCCCCCCCCCCCCCCCCGCCCGATAAATTGATCTTTCACTTCATGTCTTAAACGCGCTCTCTCTGCAACTGTCTCTTTCTTCCTCTCTCTATGTCTGTGTCACTCTCACTCTCTCCATCGCACTCTTTCTCATTCTCTCTCACTTGCGTGTTCTCTCTCTCGCTCACTCGCTCTCTGTACTCTCTCTCTTTCTCCCCCCTCTCACACTCACTGTTTCCTTTCCTCTCTGTGTTTCTCTCTCACACACACACACTCCCTCTCTCTCTCTCCCACTCACTCTTTCCTTCCCACCCTTTCTCACACTCCCCCTCTCTCTCTCAAGTGTACCACTTGACCAGTGCCTGTTGTGTGTCTGTGCCCAGCATTGCCCTCACAGACGCGGCTTGTTTAACACACAGCCATAGCCACAGAGGAGCCTTGTTCCTCACACAGAGTGTCTCAGTGCCTGTGGGGCTCCTGTCCCAGCCCAGTGAGCACCTCGGGCAGCCTGACTCACAGCCCCATGTCACTGTGCAAATAGTGGCTGTATTGATGCTCAGGATATACAGAGAGCCGCGCCAGGTTCCTACAATCCTCTCATTATCCACCGCATCCTCCAACACAGACACCGAGAGCCCCCACCACCCCCATCCTGAGCCCCCCCCCAACCCCACCGCAGAGCCGGACCCACACTGCCGGGGGGGGGGGGTTGGGCTCAGTCATTATAATAATAATCCTTGCATTTGATACAGCACCTTTTTTTACACCATCCCAAAGCCCTTGGCAGGATATACTGTAAAGTGTGTACTTTGTACCCGAAACGCGGCAGCCAGTTGCGCACAGCAGTGTCCCACAAACAACCGTGGATTGAGTGGCTTCAAATGGAAATAAGTTGGACTTGCTGGGACACCGCTGGCTGCCACACTTCGCCCACAAAACATACACAGTCACCACACTTGACAGTATATTCTGCGAGCGCTTTGAGACGTCTTGAAGACGTGATATCAAATGTAAGGATTATTATTATTATAGAGAGGGGCTGCGCGATGGAACAATCTCCGTGCCTCTCACCGTGACCATCACTGGGATGGGATGGATGGCAGGTGATCTATGTGGCAACGCTGCCCCTTTAAGCCAGTGACCAGAGCCTCGCGGCTCCCACCAGAAATGGGCGTTTCCGGCTCAGGAAACTGGTCGACAAACAAGCCCAGCTTCCCGGATACGCCGGACAACACAGTGTCCCACCCAGCACGTAGCTCCCCATGGCAGGCAATCACCCCCCCCCCCCCCGCACCGTCCCTCTCCCCCACCCCGTACAGCAATCACCCCGCGCCACGCGACCCCCCCCCCGCGCACGGCAGTCACCCCCCCCCCATTCACTGCTCCTCACTCCAGCCCCGCAGCTAGGCTTTGGGAAGAGGAATATCCAGGGTGGTGTTACCAGGAATTCCCGGAATTGTCCTGCGTCAGTGTATCTGACCTGTGGCCGTGGCTGTCTCGGAGGTCAACTGTGTGAGTTCACAAGACAGCAGCTCGTGCCCTCCCCCCGCGACTTCGATGACCTCCGAGGGGGGGAGAGGGCATGAGCTGCGGGGTGGGGGGGAAGGTTGTTAGAGCTTCTGGTGAGATTCAATGTTTGTACAATTAAACAGTTCCAAATATCACTGTTTATAAAGCAAGTTAGTCAGTGAGAAGGAGGGCGAGAGAGAGAGAGGGAGGAAATCAGTGCTGTCTCACTGTCGAGCAGGTTACAGGTTACAGAGATCCTGATTTGTGGTTTTTTTAATTTAAAGTTGTTTTATCTTTAACCTGAAATGAAGCCTCTTTCATGGTACATTGGCTCAGTGGTCAGACACTCACAGCGTCCAATTTCATCAGTTCAAACCTGTGGGAAAATACAGGGTGTTTTTGGACTGGGTGGGGCGGGGGGATAATAATAATAATCCTGGCATCTTCGAGACATCTCAAAGCGTTTCACAGAATATACTGTGAAGTGAATTTACTGTGTATTTTGTGGGTGAAACGTAGCAGTTTCGTGGATTGAATGACATTATTATTTTTTGAAGGGATTATCAGCAACAGTTTTTACAGCCTCTTTATCATCAGGTGATAAACTTCTCAAAGTGTCTCACATGTAGTGACTGTGAATTTCTCCGGGGAACCACAGTATTTGCACAAAGCAACATCCCACCAACAGCCATTGGGGTTGGAAAAAGAGTGATTTTATCTGGGGGATTGTCGGTCAGGACACCGGGAGAGAGAGGGTGTGTGTGTGTGTGTGACAGACAGGAGGTGAGGTTGTTGTTGAGGCTGACAGGCGGCTTTACAGCTGGGTGTTCCCTCTGATGCGTCAGGAAACGGTCGATCACAAGATTTGGCTCTTGTCTCACTCACTCGCCAGCTTCCCCTCCCCCATCCCCACCATCATGTGTAGTTGCCGTGACATTACCGGTACGCGGGGTGTTACGCTGGTGCGCCCCAAGCCCTGAGCCGCACTGCCGTTATTTGCCTATCAGCCTGTGCCAGTAACGTGCTGAGCCGAGCCCCGGGCTCTCTGTGGAATGCTGCGAGGCCGATGATCACCTACACAAACAAGTCGGGACAGGACATTCCTGAGTAGGTGGGGGGAAGGGGCTGACGTACCTGGGGCCAGGTGAAACCTGAGCTCCCCCGTGACCTGACACTGGTTTCTCCCTCTGCCGGAGACTGTGTGTGAGAGTGTACACATCTGTGTGTGAGAGTGTATGTGTCTGTGTGTGAATTTGTGTGTAAGTGTGTACGAGAGTGTGTGTGTGTGGGGGATTGCATTCCAGACAGGGCAGTGGAGTCCTGTAGCTCAGTGGTTAGAGCACTCGCTTTGCAAGTGAGAGACCTGAGTTCAATTCCAGGCAGAGGGCGAAACCTTGGGCAAGTTTCCTTACTCCACACAGAGCCTAATAATAATCCCTCCAAAACCAAAAACAATAATAAATTGGTCATTTTTCAATCTACGACTGTTTGTGGGACATTGCTGTGCGCAATTGGCTGCCGCGTTCGCCCACAAATATACAGTCAATTCACTTTACAGTGTGTTCTGTGAAGGGCTTTGAGACATCGAGAAGACGTGGAAAGCGCTATATCAAATGCGAGGATTATTATTATTATTAATAACAAAGGGAAACATAGGAACAGGAGGAGGCCATTCAGCCCCTCAAGCCTGTTCTATAATATCATGGCTGATCTGTACCTCAACTCCAATTATTATTCAGTGACCATGATTCCAGCCAGTGAGTGTGTGTGTGTGTATGGGGAGGGAGTGTTTATGGGGGAGGGAGGGAGGGAGGGGTGGATGCCGAGTTGGGATTTTTGGCTGTTGTGTTGGATGAAGGTCCAGTGATCTGCATGTGACGGAGCCACTGAATGAAGTATTCACAGCTGCTGCTTAAATGAGCTGTTTGTGCGCAACAGTCACTGCACACACTTGCCCCAACCCCAAACCCCCAGCCCCCAACTCATTGCCTGGTAATAACAGACACAATAAGTCACCATCCACCTCTCTCTCTCTCCTGTTCTGGTGGGGGCTGGTGCTTCAGGGTGTGTGTATGGGGGCAGAGTGTCAGGGGGTGTGTATGGGGGCAGAGTGTCAGGGTGTGTGTATGGGGGCAGAGTGTCAGGGGGTGTGTATGGGGGCAGAGTGTCAGGGTGTGTGTATGGGGGCAGAGTGTCAGGGTGTGTGTATGGGGGCAGAGTGTCAGGGGGTGTGTATGGGGGCAGAGTGTCAGTGGGTGTGTATGGGAGGTTTGTCACATCGAGGCTCGACTGTGCCAACTCCTTGCTTGTCGGCCTCCCCAACTCCTCCCACCATAGGTTGTAAATCATCCAGAACTCTGCAGCCCGTGTCCTCTCCCGCACTTTGTGACCCTATCACCCCCATCCTCACCCGACCCCACTGGCTTCCCATCACACAGAGGATACAGTTCAAGATCCTGGTCCTCACCTTCAAAGCCCTCCACGGCCCTGCTCTTCCCTACATCTGTGCCCTAACCTCCTACCAACCTGCCCTCTCCCTCCGCTCAGCGGGCTCTGGCCTCCTTCACGTCCTCCACCTCGCCCACCCCACCGTTGTCAGTCGGGCCTTCAGCCACTCTGCCCCCACCCTCTGGAACTCCCATCACGCAGTCCCTCCGCCTCGCCCTCCCTTGCCCCCATCAAAACCCTCCTTTGACTGAGCCTTCAGTCACCCTCCTACCCTTACCCTCCATCCCTCCTGATCCCAACCACCAGCTCGGGTGTAGATCCCTGACTGTCCAGCGCCTTGGGACGTCCTCCTGACATGAAAGATGCTGTGTAAATGTAATTTGTTGTTGTTGTTGTCGGGTGGGGCACTCTCGGGGTGGGATTGTGTGTTGGGGGAGTAACTCGGGGAGATGTTGATGCTGTAAGTGATGGAGATTTTTTTGTTCTATTTTAGGGGCGACGAAAGACATCGGTTCTGCTCTGACCCGCGTGTGTATGAGACACCGGAGCGTGGAATCCCGGCTCAAACAGTTCACAGTGTGAGTACACACTCACTGTTCAGCCTCTCACTAACCCCCAGTGTTAGAGGAGAGCAGCGAGGCTGATCATGGTGTTAGAGGTGTGAGCAGGGATGAGCTGGTTGTGTTAGTGTGAGCTGGTTGTGTTGGTGTGAGCTGGTTGTGTTGGTGTGAGCTGGTTGTGTTGGTGTGAGCTGGTTGTGTTGGTGTGAGCTGGTTGTGTTGGTGTGAGCTGGTTGTGTTGGCGTGAGCTGGTTGTGTTGGCGTGTGTTGGTGTGAGCTGGTTGTGTTGGTGTGAGCTGGTTGTGTTGGCGTGTGTTGGTGTGAGCTGGTTGTGTTGGTGTGAGCTGGTTGTGTTGGTGTGAGCTGGTTGTGTTGGTGTGAGCTGGTTGTGTTGGTGTGAGCTGGTTGTGTTGGTGTGAGCTGGTTGTGTTGGTGTGAGCTGGTTGTGTTGGTGTGAGCTGGTTGTGTTGGTGTGAGCTGGTTGTGTTGGTGTGAGCTGGTTGTGTTGGTGTGAGCTGGTTGTGTTGGCGTGTGTTGGTGTGAGCTGGTTGTGTTGAGCTGCGTGTGTTGGTGTGAGCTGGTTGTGTTGGTGTGAGCTGGTTGTGTTGGTGTGAGCTGGTTGTGTTGGTGTGAGCTGGTTGTGTTGGTGTGAGCTGGTTGTGTTGCCGTGTGTTGGCGTGAGCTGGTTGTGTTGGTGTGAGCTGGTTGTGTTGGTGTGAGCTGGTTGTGTTGGTGTGAGCTGGTGTGATGTGTTGCCCGCAGCGCCCTGACTGACAGCCTGATAAACCCGCTGGAGATGCGCATCGAGGAGTGGAAAAAAGTAGCCAATCAGCTGGACAAGGACCACACTAAAGGTACATCCGTGTGAGCCTGCATATGTGAGCACGTGTGTGTGAGCCCCTGTGTGCGAGCATGTGTGTGTGAACGTGCTTGTATTAGTGTTTGAGTGCGCACGTGTGTTTGTGAGCATGCGTGTGCGAGTATGCGTATGTGAGCGTGCGTGTGTGAGCGTGTGTGTGTGTGAGCGTGCGTGTGAGCGTGAGTGTGTGTATGAGTGTGTGTGTTTGTGAGCGCGGGCGTGTAAGACACTCTCTCTCGTTACAGAGTATAAGAAAGCGCGACAAGAGATTAAGAAGAAATCCTCAGACACACTCAAACTGCAAAAGAAAGCGAAGAAGGGTAAGGCCGTGATGCTGGGGGTGGTGAGTGCCGTCAGCCTCGTGGCTTCCTGTGGTCCCGGCCCCGACACAACATACAGTCACTACACTTGACAGTGAATTCTGGGAAGCGCTTTGAGACGTTCTCCCGACATGTAAGGCCTGGGTCAGATGCGAGGGTTGTTATTATAATAATAATAATCCCTGCATTTGTACAGCACCTTATCACATTTTCTGGATGTCTCAAAGTGCTTCACTACTGTAAAGTGTAGTGACTGTATGTTTTGTAGGTGGGGGTTGATGTCAGGTTCGCTCTCTCCACCATCATTCACTGCCTAGGAAGGGGCTGTGCGAGGTTGCTGGCGTGTGTACAGTTGGTGTGACAGCCCCCCCACAGGCAGCCAGATACCCTCAGGGAGAGAGAAATCACAGCAAAGTAAAGGTTCAGGACATTCCCTCACTGTGACTGGAACGCACTGTCTGCTCCCTCATCAAGGAAGCTGTTATTTTTCCTTCCTTTTTTTTTCCAGAGCTGAGCGCACTCACACTCACACTCACACTCTCACACTCAGCTGGGTGGGGTGGGGTGGGGTGGGGGGGGGGCTGGAGGCCGACCAGACACATTCCTCCTCACACGTTTGCCGTTCGCTGCCTTGAATAATCCCTCCACAAAATAATAATTTGGTCACTCACTCCACGACTGTTTGTGGGGACGTCGCTGGGCGCAGTTGGCTGCCGTGTGTCACCCACAAAATACACAGTCACTACACTTTACAGTGTATCCTGTGAAGTGCTTTGAGATGTCTCGAAGACGTGATTCAGGCGTTGTATCAAATGCCAGGATTATTATTATTATTTATCTCCCTTTCTCCTAATGTGCCTGTGAGTGAGTGTGCCCGTGAGTGTGTGTGTGTGAGTGTGAGTGTGTGTGGGTGTGTGTGTGGGTGGGTGTGTGTGTGTGGGTGTGTGTGGGTGTGGGTGGGTGTGGTGGGTGTGGGTGGGTGGGTGGGTGTGGGTGGGTGTGGGTGGGTGTGGGTGAGTGTGGGTGAGTGTGTGTGGGTGTGTGTGGGTGAGTGTGTGGGTCTGTGTGGGTGAGTGTGTGTGGGTGAGTGTGTGTGGGTGAGTGTGTGTGGGTGAGTGTGTGGGTGTGGGTGGGTGTGTGTGTGTGGGTGAGTGTGGGTGAGTGTGGGTGAGTGTGGGTGAGTGTGGGTGAGTGTGGGTGAGTGTGGGTGTGTGTGTGTGTGTGTGTGTGGGTGAGTGTGTGTGGGTGAGTGTGTGAGTGGGTGTGTGTGAGTGTGTGTGTGTGAGTGTGTGTGTGTGAGTGAGTGTGTGTGGGTGAGTGTGGGTGTGGGTGTGTGTGTGTGGGTGTGTGTGTGAGTGTGTGAGTGTGAGTGTGTGTAGGTGTGTGTGTGGGTGTGTGTGGGTCAGGGTTTGGTATCAGAGTGAGTTCCTGCAGGAAATTCTCTGCCTGTTTTGGGAAGTAAAGATGGGATTCCGGGAGCACTTCCAACACGTGGAGAATTTACTGCTCCCGTGTGAGCGGCGTGTGAATGCGTCAGGAAACTGATTCAATAGAAACCCCCTGACAGTCCCCCTCCCCGTGGGGAAATGGGGTGGGAGGGGGAGGGGGCTGTCATGGGAAAGCAGTGCCTTGTGTGTAGCTACATGTCTCTGTGTGCGCCATTGACCCATTTCATGCTGATTGACAATTACTCAGGTGACTGACTCTCTGCTAACACTGACCGACCTCTGAATGTCAGCCATAGGCCCTCAGTGTAACATCTCACACTCCCACACACGCACACACTCCCACACACGCACACACTCCCACACACGCACACACTCCCACACACGCACACACTCCCACACGCACGCACTCCCACACACTCCCACACACGCACTCCCACACACGCACTCCCCCCACACACACACACACTCGCACACATACACACTCCCACATTCCCACACGCACACACTCCCACACACACATATGCGCAATCCCACACACACACGCACTCCCACGCCCATACTCACACTCCCAAACATACACGCACACACACTCACTCCCACACTCACTCCAACACACACACACTTCCACACACACACGCACAATGCCACACACACACTCACACATATACACACACACGGGAGTGGACCGTTTTCTACACATACATACTCTTACACATACTCACTCTCTTACACATACATATACACTCACGTTCACGCACATACTTATACACACACACACTCACAATATGCACTCTCACACACTCGCTCACACACGGCCACACGCGGGGGTGTGGAATGGCCGGGCTATGTAATCGGAGTGTGGCCGCGTTTGCTTTGGGAGGAATTTTTTTCCACAACTGGTGGCTCCAAACCCTCCAACAGCTGCCCCCCCCCCCCCAGGACTGTCACATTAACTCCCGAGGTGCTGGATCACCAACACAGGGAGCACTTCCCCGCCTGTCTGCTCCCCTACCACCAGTGGCCAGGGTGGGGGTGGGGGTGGGGGGGTGGCGCATTGCCTCCTCCATGCAGCCGCCCCCCCCCCCCAACATACACATGCCCTGTGGCCACACAAGCACATGTAGGCACTCACATGCACAGACATATGTGGATACAGACGCATACATATACATGTACACACACATGTGTACAGACACACATGGATGCATGTGTTGCACAACAAAAAGATTGAGGTTACAGGGAGAGAGGGCGAGAGAGAGCGCACGAGCTCTCTAACTTGCTGACACAGCGCAGGGCCTCATGTGACCCTCTGCACTGAGTCACACAAACTGACTGAGATGCTGTTTTCCCCCAAAAAACACAAACCATGTGATTTCCCCCCCCCCCACACACGCACATACACCCCCCCCCCACCACCGCCCAGTCTGTGAGCTTTAACTGGAGTTTTCACTCTAAACAAACTCAAATCTGGTTTAATCTGCTGCCTGTGGCACCTCTCTGTAATGCTGCGTATAATGGCACACTTCATCCCACCTCCTGATCTTTTGTAGCTCAGTGGTTAGAGCAATCGCCTCACCAACCGGAGGATCTGGGTTCGATTCCTGGTCAGAGCGAAATGTTAGGCAAGTTTCCTTGCTCCACACACACATCTTTGTTTACCAACAGTCAGCAGGAACGTGGTTGTTAGTCGATTGGCGGATCACTTTTCCGGGGGCCGTCCGGTGTGGAGGACGCTATACAAATCCAAGTTGTTGTTGTAATAATCCCTTAAAAAACAATAATAATTTGGTCACTCAATCCACGACTCTTTGTGGGATGCCGCTATGCACAAATTGCTACCCTCTTTCGCCAACAAAATATACAGTCAATTCACTTTACAGATTATTCTGTGAAGCGCTTTGAGACGTCTAGAAGACGTGATTGTATGAAATGCCAGGATTATTATTATTATTATGTGTGAAAACCACATGGCTCAGTCTGTCACTCTGCTGCCATCTGGTGAGCAGAGCTGAGCCACATACTGTGACACACACAGTAACACTGAGCTGTGCCGGGGGCGGGTGATGGCATGAGTGTGGCGTTGCCGGAGCTGGTACTGACTATCTCTTTCCCCCCTCTCCCCGTCACCCCGCCCCACCCTCCCCCCTCTCTCTCACAGGGAAGGAGGACGTGAGATTACAGCTAGACTGTGCGATGCAGGATGTGAACGACAAGTACATGTTGCTGGAGGACACGGAGAAGCAGGCAGTGTGCCGGGGGCTGATCGAGGAGCGCGCTCGCTTCTGTGCCTTCGTCTCCATGCTGCGGCCCGTGCTGGTATGTCTCTCATTCTCTCCCCATCTCTGCCTCTCACTCTCTTACTCTCACTTGCTCTCTATCTCACTCTGTCTCACGGTCACTCTCTCTCTCTCTCTGCCCAGGATGAGGAGATCGGGATGTTGGGGGAGATCACACATTTACAGACGATTCTGGAAGATTTGGGCAACCTGACGGCTGAGCCCCAGAAACTGCCCCCGGCCAGTGAGCAGGTCAGCCTCTCCCCCTAAACCCTGACCTCACACCCCAACTTTACCCCAGTCCTGACCCCTGACCCCCAGCCTCAACATAACCCCTGACCCTACAATACTGTTCTGACATCTAATTCATGTAACCAAAACTGGGAGTGAATTTAAGGCCACTCGTCCCTCGTGGACACGTTTCTCCTGGGATGGGATACAATGGAGTCCTGTAGCTCAGTAGTTAGAGCACTCGCCTCCCAAGTGAGAGGACCCGGGTTTGGTTTCTGGGCCGGGCAAAGCGTTGGGTAAGTTTCCTTACTGCAGACACCTCTGTTTACAAGCAGTAAGTAGGAACCCGGTTGTTAGTAGATTGGTGGATCGCTTTAAAAACAATTTGGTCACTTCAATCCATGACTGTTTGTGGGACGCTGCTGTGTGCAATTGGACGCCGTGTTTTGCGCACAAAATATACAGTCGGTTCACTTTACAGTATATTCTGTGAACCGCTTTGAAACATGATAAGACACTATATCAAATGAAGCATTATTATTTTAATTATTATGATTATTAACATCAATGGGATGTGAATCAACAACAACAACTTGGATTTATATAGCGCCCTCCATGCCGGGCGCTTCACAGTAACGGATCCCAGGGCCGAGCCAGGGGGAGGGGGAGGGGGGAAGGTGACCAAAAGCACGGTCGAAAAGAAAGGTCTTCAGCAGAGACCTGAAAGTAAGAAGAGAGGGAGCGAGATGAAGGGAGTGAGGAAGGGAGTTCCAAAGCCTCAGAGCGTAGTGGCTGAAGGCACGGCCGCCGAGGGTGGAGCGGAGGACTCGGGGGACGAGGAGGAGGGCAGACCCGGAGGAACGAAGGCAACGGGCACTGTTGTGAGGAGAGAGGAGGTCAGAGAGGTCGGGTGGTGCAGAGGAGTGCAGGGACTTGAATACAAGAGTGAGGATCTTGAAGTCGATCCTCTCTGGGACAGGCAGCCGGTGCAGTCTGGCCAGGACTGGGGGGATTGGGGAGCGGAGTTGGTGCGGGTGAGAATGCGAGCGGCAGAGTTTTGAATGATTTGGATTTTAGGGATGGTGGTGGAGGGGAGGCCGGCGAGGAGGGCGTTAGAGTAGTCCAGCCGAGAGGTGACAAAGGCCTGGACCAGGGTTTCAGCGGCTTTTGGGGAGAGGTATTGGCGGAGACGGGCGATGCATCGGAGGTGGGAGAAGGCGGTGCTGGTGAGGGACCGGATGTGGGGGAGGAAGGATAATTGGGGGTCGAACCTGACGCCGAGGTTGCATATGGGTTTGGAGAGTTTTAGTGGGAGGTCGGGTAGGTGGAGGAGGTGAGAGCTGTGAGATTTTAGATGTTGATGGGAGCCAAAGAGTACGGTCTCCGTCCTGTCAACGTTTAGCTGAAGGAAGTTTGCACTCATCCAGCTCCTGAGGTCTGACAGGCAGCTGACAGAACATCGGGGGACTGGGGGTCACAAAGAGTGGTGGAAAAATAGAGTTGGGTATCGTTGGTATACATGTGGAAATGTACCCATGTCTGTGGATGACATCCCCAAGAGGGAGCATGTAGATCAGAAAGAGGAGGGGGCCAAGGATGGATCCTTGGGGTACCTCACAGTTAACCGGGTGAGAGCGGGAGGAGAAGCCATTTGTGCAGATGTACTGCTGGCAGTTTGTGAGATAATAATAATAATAATCCTTGCATTTGATATAGCGCTTTTCACGTTGGGAGGACGTCCCAAAGCGCTTCACAGAATACACTGTAAAGTGAATTGACTGTATATTTGTGGGCGAACGCAGCAACCAATTGCGCACAGCAATGTCCCACAAACAGTCGTAGATTGAAAATGACCAATTTATTATTGTTTTTGGTTTTGGAGGGATTATTATTAGGCTCTGTGTGGAGTAAGGAAACTTGCCCAAGGTTTCGCCCTCTGCCTGGAATTGAACTCAGGTCTCTTGCTTGCAAAGCGAGTGCTCTATCCACTGAGCTACAGGACTCCACTAGGTAGGACTCGAACCAGGCGAGTGCGGTCCCACTGAGGTGGATGACGGAGGAAAGGCGGTGGAGGAGGATGGTGTGATCGACTATGTCGAACGCGGTGGAGAGGTCCAGGAGGACAAGGAGGCAGAGGGAGCCCTGGTCACAGATAGAGAGGATGTTGTTTGTGACTTTCACAATCGCAGTCTCTGTACTGTGGGCGGAAACCGGAGTGGAGGGGTTCGAAGAGGGAGTGGGAGGAGAGGTGTGCGCGGAGTTGGTTGGCAATAACGCGTTCTAGGACTTTTGCGAGGAAGGGCAGGTTAGAAATAGGGCAGTAATGGCTGGGGTTTGATGACGTCAGCCAGTAGTGGGCAGAAGAGGGGGAGCTGGGTGACCAGCAGGTTGGTGGGGAGGGGGTCGAGGCAGCAGGTGGTGGGTTTCATGGAGGTGATGGTGGGTTGGTGGGTGAGAGGGAGGAGGGAGAGATGGGAAGGAAGGAATGTAGAATGGGGGTGGTGGTAGGAGCTGATGATGGGGAGGGTGAGGGGGACAGAGAGGGTGTGGTGGTGGGTGACAAGGGGCAGGTGGATGAGGCTGCCTGGCGGATGTTAAGTATTTCAAATGAAAAGAAGTCCATGACCTCCTCGCACTCGGCATTTGATACGAAGATTGAGGGACCTGAGGGGGTGCACGGAGAAGGTAGTGGGTGGTGGAAAAAAGGATTTTAGGGTTGTGTTTAGCCTCCAGGATGATGTTGGAGTAGAAGCCGTTTTTGCTTGTGTCAAAGAACGGCGGTAGCTGTGGAGATGCTCGAGCCACAGTTAGCGGTGAACTGTCAGGCCAGTTTTCCGCCATTTGCGCTTGAGCAGCCGGGTTTCGGTTTTTTGGCAGTGGAGATGGTTGTTGTACCAGAGGGATCTGGTGGGTTTGGAGATAGTCCTGGATTTTAGGTTGACGAGGGAGTTGAAGGTGGAGGAGAGGCGATCATGGAGCAGTTGGACGGCTGCTTCAGGATCTTCATGGGTGGAAGGCCAGAGGGAGAGGATATTTGATGATGAGAGGGCCTTTGTGAAGGTCTCAGGGGGTTGCCTTTTCCAAAGGCAGTAGAAGATGGTTGAGGGCTTGGTGGAGGAGAGAGGGATGTGAGAGGAGAAGGGGATGCGGAAGTGGTCCGAGGGCCTAGTCCACTATGCTGAGGTCGGAAATGTCAAGGCCGTGGGTGATAACGAGATCAAGTGCATGACCATGGTTGTGGGTGGGTGAATTAATGTGAAGGGTAAGGTTTAGGGAGGAGAGGAGGGCAGTGAAATCGGCAGAAGTAGTGCAAAGGGGAGTTTAGGTGGAGGTTGAAATCGCCCATTATGAGGAGGCGTTCGGAGCAGAGGGACAAGGAAGAGAGGAGAGTAGAGATGTCTGTGTGGAAGGAGCCGGGGGGCTTAGGGGGCAGTAGACAAGGAGGATTTTCAATGAGAGAGAGGGGTGAAAGAGGGTGAGGTGCTCGAAGGAAGAGAAGCAGCCAGAGGAGTAGGGGGTGAGACCAAGGGAGGCTTTGGAAATGAAGGCCACCCCACCGCCACGTTGGTTTGGACAGGGGTTGTGGTGGAAGGTGTAGCCTAGAGGGGAGGCTTCCACGAGGGGGACGGGGTCATTGGGGGAGAGCCAGTTTTCGGTGAGCCCAAGAATGTCAAGATGTTCGTCCAGGATGAGGTCGTGGATGGCGAGGGCTTTATTTGAGAGGGAACGGACATTTTGGAGGGAAATGCGGGTGGGTTTGCTGTAGGGGGCGAGGGAGGAGAGAGTGATGCAGAAAGGATTTTGGGGTGTACAGGAGAGATGGCTGTGGAGCGTGGGGGGAGTGGAGAGTTGGGGAGGGTGGAGGCGGTTTGAGCGGAGGGAGTGAATGATGGCACACTTGGGGTTGCTGCTCTGGGACAGACAGTGCCGGGAGCCACAGTGGGCCCGGCGGAGGATGCCCAGGCTGGAGCAGAGGGAAGTGGTGATGGGGTTGAGGAAAGAGAGAAGGCGGGGGAGGGTGCGGGGGGGGCGCGGCAGTGGGAGAGAAGGATAGAGGGGGAGTAGCAGATAGAGGGGGTGGGACGAGAGACATTTAGGGTGGAGGGGGAGGCTCGGGTTGGGCGGCAGCCAAAAAGCCGAGACCGGGAGCGAGCGATCAGTAGGACGGCATCAGCCCTCAGGCTGTGAGGTCATGGCCGGGGTGGCAGTGGCCGGGGCTGCCAGGCCATTGTTGTTGTTGTTGTCGCTGTTTTTTTTAATCGTGACGTCACTTTGTGAATCGCGCCACCCCGTCACTTACCTCAGCTCCCGACTCCACTCCTCACCTGGCTGTGCTTTATACCCGCAGCTAGCCCTCGGCTCCGCTCTGCCCTCTCCTGACTCCGCTCACGACAGGTTTCCTGTCCCAGATCCCATCATCCAGTCCTTATTCCCAGTGATGCGCTGGTTTTCCGGGGCTGACGGCTGCTGTGTTTCCTCCTCAGGTCATCCTGGACCTGAAGATTTCTGATGACTATAATTACACATATCACACACCGCCTTCCTCCCCGGGGAGCACACTGTCTCGCAGTGGCACAATCAACAGGTACCTGCGCTCGCACACACACACACTCACTCAAACACACACACTCGCTCACACTCGCTCGCACATTCAATCAATTGCACATATACGGTCTCGCATACTCACTGACACACTCGTGCTCTCTCACACTCTCACACACTCTCGCGCTGGTGCAGTCACTAACGCTGGCTCTGGCTGATTGTTACCCAGCTCCCAGTACCTGCACAAGGGCGGCCGACACACCAGCATCGCGTCCCTCAACTCCGTCTTCGCCTCAACAGAAACTCTTCATGTCCGAACCCCTTCTGTCCTCGTCCCCGACGGCGGCAGCCAGGTAAACAGCGACCTCCCTCCACCCCATCACCGCTAGGTACACAGCGACCTCCTCCACCACCCCCCCACCCACCAACCAGGTACACAGGGACCTCCCCCACCACCCCCCTACCCACCAACCAGCCACGTACACAGCGACCTCCCCCACCACCACCCCACCAGGTACACAGGGACCTCCCCCACCACCCCCCCACCCACCAACCAGGTACACGGAGACCTCCCCCACCACCACCCCACCCACCAACCAGGTACACGGAGACCTCCCCCACCACTATCCCACCCACCAACCAGGTACACGGGGACCTCCCCCACCACCCCCCACCCACCAACCAGCCAGGTATACAGGGACCTCCCACAGCACCACCACCCCCCCAACCAGATACACAGGGACATCCCCCACCACCACCACCCCCAATCAGGTACACAGCGAGCTCCCCCTGGTACACACTGACCCCTCTCTCGCACCCCCCTCCCCCCCCCACACAGACAGTAACGCTGTGAAATTACTTAGAAATTTTGGCTGTTTGAGGGGACGTTGCTGTGTGCCAATTGTCTGTCGCGTTTGCCTGCAGAAAACACATCGTCACTACACTTTACGGTTAAATCCAGTGAAGCACTTCGAGACGTCCTCTCGGGGTGAAGGTCGCTGGGTCACGCGTAAGGTTATTCTCTCTGTTATTTAAAAGCAGAGACAATGATCGCAGAGAGCTTCAGGCTTCAGTTACAGGCCCTGGCCAGCAGCTTAGTCAGGCCACACGTTTCCCAGTTATCCCGGGGTTTGCACCTGTTTATCCCGGGGTTTGCACCTGTTTATCCCGGGGTTTGCACCTGTTTATCCCGGGGTTTGCACCTGTTTATCCCGGGGTTTGCACCTGTTTATCCCGGGGTTTGCACCTGTTTATCCCGGGGTTTGCACCTGTTTATCCCGGGGTTTGTGTTCCACTTAGGAAAGTTTAATGAGAAGTTTTCAAGCTAACGATTTCTAATCTTTGTCTTATCTTTTCTTACAACCTCATTTTTTTTCCTCTGCTCCTTCCTCTGATCTTTTCTCCCTCTCTTATCTCTTCCTCTCCTCTCCTGTCTCTTCCCTTCCCCTACTGCCTCTCTCCCCCTCTCTTTCCCTCCTCGTGCCCCCCTCCCCCCCACAACCCTCCCATTGCTGGCCTGACCTGCAGAAATCCACCAGCTCAGGATCGTCTGAGTGCTCGGAGACCTGCCGGTGTGTCAGTGACTGTGGCTCCCCCACCTCCCTGGGCTCCAGCTCCACCTCCACCGGGGGGCCGTGGGCCGTGCCCAGCCAGGTGATGCCAACGGCCCTCACAACAACAACGTACATTTACATAGCGCCCCCTCACGCAGGGCAGCGTCCCAGAGCGCTTGACAGCAACGGAGCCTGACGCTGAGCCAGCCAGAGTGGGGAGGTGACAGTGGGCAGGCGGTCGATGAGGGAGGTCTTCAGCTGCTATCTGAAGACGGGGAGGGAAAGGGCCAGGCGGGATAGAGGCAGAGAGTTTTGCAGTCCAGTGGCTTAAAGTGGGGCCACCAATGGTGAAATGGAGTGCATGGGGGACATGCAGGAGGCCGGAGCCAGTCGAGCGGAAGTAGCGGGTGGTGGATTGGGGGGTGAGCAGGTCAGAGAGGTGGCAGCGTGAAGGGGTTTGAAAACGAACGAGAGGATCTTGAAATCACCGGGTGTGGGGTGGCGGGGTGCAGCTGGCGGTGGCCGGTGGACCCTCAGCTCAGCCGCTCGCACCCATGCTCAGTGTCAGGAAGTTGTGGGTGCAGCGCTGGGGGGAGAGAGCTCCACATTGGCTTCAGATCAGATGTTAAACCAAACTCTCGCCTGTGCCCTGTTTGGTTGGACGTCGTTGGAAAAGGGGAATAGAGTTTCTCTCTCCTGGTCTCCTGGCCAACAATCCCTCAGATAAAACTGGTCCCTCACTTCATAGCTGTTTGTGGAACGTTGCTGTGAGCAGATTGGCTGCTGGGTTTATCTACAATATACACTGTCTAACCCCTTCGCTCTCTCTTTCTCACTCTTTCGCCCTTTTCCGTTTCCCCACTGTCTCTCTGACAGCCCTGATAATCACGGAATTAATAATCCATTTATTTTTAGCCCAGTGGGCCCCTCGCGGAGCTCCCGGCCCAGCGGGCCCCTCGCGGAGCTCCCGACCCAGCGGGCCCCTCGCGGAGCTCCCGGCCCAACGGGCCCCTCGCGGAGCTCCCGGCCCAGTGGGCCCCTCGCGGAGCTCCCGGCCCAGTGGGCCCCTCGCGGAGCTCCCGGCCCAGTGGGCCCCTCGCGGAGCTAACGGCCCAGTGGGCCCCTCGCGGAGCTCCCGGCCCAGTGGGCCCCTCGCGGAGCTCCCGGCCCAGTGGGCCCCTCGCGGAGCTCCCGGCCCAGTGTATGGTTGTTAGTGTGTGTGTGAGTCCTGGAATTTCAAGCCTTGGCTTCAAATCTAGATCTAATTGATGGGATGGGTTTAGTCTGTTGGGAATGCGGGGATGGGGGGGGAGGAGGAAGGGGTTGGGGGTTTGGTGATTGATTTCTTGTGCAATAGATTTTCTTAAAAAGATTAAAAACTGATATGGAGCAAACGGCTGATGAGTTTCAGGGGAGTTTTTTTTCTTTCTGAAGCAGGACTGGGGTAAGCTGAAAGTGGGGGAGTCAGGACTAGCCGGGAACCCCCCCCACATGGACGGTGCCAGGCACCGGAGAAACGGCGAGAATGGCCCCCCCACCCCCACCGACCCCCATGGTGCTAGGACACAGAGATCAGGCTCCTCGTCAGCCCCCGGCAAGGTACACGGTTGTTCACCTATTGGCAGACATCTTTTCTGGGGGTAATAATCCCTTCAAAATAAATAATTAATAATATAGAAAAATAATAATTTGGTCACTCATTCCACAACTGTTTATGGGATGTTGCTGTGTGCAATTGGCTGCTGTTTTTTGCCCACAAAATACAGTCACTACAATTTACAGTATATTCCGTGAAGCACATTGAGACGTGTCAACGATGAGAAAAGGCATTGTATCAAATGTGAGGATGATGATTATTATTATTATAATCTCTCTCTGTGACAGGCCGGGGATGTCACAGCCCGGGAGCAACTGGCCTTGGCCCTGGGTCAGGGCTTCACGCTGGACGTACAGAGAAGCAGCCGGGACTCACTGCACTGCTCGAGCGGCTACAGCACGCAGACCACCACCCCCTCCTGTTCCGAGGACACCATCCCCTCACAAGGTGCGGCAGCCAGCCAGGGGCGGTGGGGGTGGGTGGGGGAGTGTCAGCACAAACGTGCTCAGTGCAGTGGAGTGAACACCAGCACAGACACAATGTGCAGGGAATGGGGTTAGAGTGGAGAGCTCCAGTGGGGGAGTGAGCCCCAACACAGACACGATGGGGAGAGAGCAGGGAACGGGGTTAGAGTCGAGAGCTCCAGTGGGGGAGTGAGCTCCAGCACAGACACGATGGGGAGAGAGCAGGGAATGGGGTAGAGTCGCGAGCTCCAGTGGGGGAGCGAGCCCCAGCACAGACACGATGGGGAGAGAGCAGGGAATGGGGTTAGAGTGGAGAACTCCAGTGGGGGATCGAGCACCAGCACAGACACTGTATCTTGTGTGAATTTGCTCTTATTGTTTTACAGCTACAAAGAGGGACCAAAGCCTCGTCGGTGAGTTTCTCTTTAAAAATTATTGATCGTCAAAGTGTTAGTGCTCAATGTAAATAGATGATGGAAATAGACAGATGTTCAATCCACATTCCCAGGTCACTCCCATCCACACTGCATGGGTTAGAGTCAGAGTAAAGCTCCCTTTGTACCCTGTTCGTCCATATTCCCAGGTCAGCCATAATATTGGTTATCATAGAACCATATCATCCAGCACAGAAAGAGGCCATTCGGCCCATCGCGTCTGCGCCAGCTCCAAAAAGAGCTTCCAACTCAATCCCACCGGCCGCTTTCTCTCCATAGCCCTGCGATCCCGTCCTCCCCAAATACCCATCTACTTCTCTCTTAAAAGTTGTTATTGAATCGGCTTCCACTACCCTTTCAGGTAATGCATTCCAGATCCCAACACCTCGCTGGGTGATATTTCCTAACCTCCCCTCTGTTTCTTTTAACAACTATCTTAAATTGGTGTCCTCGGGTTACTGACCCACATGACAGCGGAAACAGTTATTTCCGGTTCAACCTATCAAATCCTCTCATGATCTTGAAAACCTCTATTGAATCCTCTCTTAATCTTCTCTGCTCTCGGGAGAATAATCCTAGTTTCGCAAACCTCTCCTCATAACTAAGATCCTTCATTCCGGGTACCATCCTGGTAAACCTCCTTTGCACCCTCTCCAATGCCCGAACATCTTTCCTAAAGTGCGGTGCCGAGAACTGAGCGCAGTCTCCAACTGAGACCTAACAGCATTTTATAAATATTCAACATAACCTCCTGACTTTTGAATTCTATGCCCCTATTTATAAAACCTGGTATCCCGTTTGGTTTTTAACAGCTTTATCTTCCTGTCCTGCCACCTTCAGAGATTTGCTTATGTGGACCCCCAGGTCTCTCTGTGCATTTGCCCCCTTTAAGATTGTACCATCAGCTTATATTGCCTCTCCTCATTCTTCCCACCAAAATGCAACACTTTGCGTTTCTCCACATTAAATCTTATATGCCACGTTTCTGCCCATTTTACCAATCTGTCTAAGTCCCCTTGGGAGTCTGGTGCTATCCTCCTCACCATTAACTACTTTTCCCACCTTAGTATCGTCTGAAAATTTGTAAATTGCGCTCCCTATACCCAGTCCAGATATTAATATAGATCAGAAAGAGCAGTGGTCCCAAAACCGACCCCTGAGGGACACCACTACGCACCTCCCAGAAAAGCAACCGCTTACTACCACTCTCTGCTTTCTGACTCCTCACCAGTTTTGGATCCATGTTGCCTTTAATACCGTGGGCTTCTATTTTGTTTATAAGTCTCTTATGTGGCACTTTGTCAAATGCCTTTTGGAAATCTAGATAAACTACGTCTACTGCACTACCTTCATCCACCCTCTCAGTCACTTCATCAAAACATTCTATTAGGTTTGTCAGACACGATCTGCCTTTAACAAATCCGTGTTGACTGTCCTTTATTAAACCATATTTTTCTAAGTGAGAATTTATATTGTCCCGGATTATAGTCTCCAGAAGTTTCCCTATTATGGATGTTAGGCTGATTGGCTGTAGTTCTCAGGTTTATCTTTCTGCCCCTTTTTGTACAGGGGAGTCACATTTGCAACTTTCCAGTCCTCTGGCACCACTCCAGTGTCCAAAGAGAATTGAAAGATTGTGGCCAGAATCTCCGCTCTTTCCACCCTTGCTCCCTCAATAACCTTGGATGCATCGCATCCGGACCAGGTGACTTATCTATGTTGAGCACCGACAGCCATTTTGGTACCTCCTCTCCTGTTGATTTTTATCATATCCAATTTCTATTCATACGCCTGCGATATTGTGGCATTGCTTGCATCGTCTTCTTTTGTGAAAACAGTTGCAAGTATTTATTTAGTACATCACCCATGCCCTCTGCCTCAGCACCAAGATTTCCATTTGGGTCCCTAATTGGACCCACTCTACCTTTGACTAACCTTTTACTCTTGATATATTTATAAAATACCTTAGGGTTCCCTTTTATGTTTCCTGCTAATCTTTTCTCGTACAATCTCTTCGCCCTCTTATTTCCATTTTCACTTCTCCTCTGTACTTCCTATATTCTATTTGATTATCCTGTGTGTTTGGACCTGACATTTGTCATAAGCCTCCTTTTCCTGTTTTATTAGTTTCCTTAGTCATCCAGGGAGGTTTGACTGTCCTACCTTTCCCTTTGTGGGAATGTACCCGCGTGCGCACTATGGCTGCCGCTCTGACCCTCACCCCCTCACCCCCTCCCTCCCTCCCCCCTCCTCTCCCCCCAAATCCTTCACGCTCTACATCTCTCCCGCTCTGTCCTCCTCTCTCTCCGTCCCTCTCGCCTTCTATCCCCACTTGACCCTCCCACAACCTCCCTCTGCTCCAGTCTGGGAATCCTCCGCCGGGCTCACCGTGGCACTCGGCGTTGGCTGTCCAGCAGCAGCCACACCGACTGCCCCATTCCCCACCACACTCGCCAGCCACCCCGGACACAGACCTGGGGAGCCAACCTCTCCTCCCTCATCCCCATTCCCCCCACCCCTGCCACACAACCTGGACCCCCCTCCCTCCCCACACACCCTTCTGCCAACTGCTCCCTCCACATCGGACTGCAAAACGTCCGCTCCCTCTGTAACAAGGCTCTGGTCATCAATGATCTCATCCTTGATGAGAGCGTTGACATTATGGCCTTAACGGAAACCTGGCTCACCCCAGGCAACACCTTCCCCCTCACGGAGGCCACATCACCCGGCTACACCTCCCACCACATCCCTCGCCCCAACCGCCGTGGCGGTGGTGTAGCCCTTATCCCACTTGCCCTATCCCCCTACTCCTCTGGCTCTTTCCCCTCTTTTGAGCACCTCACCCTCTCCCACCCCTCCTTCCTCTCACTCAAAATCCTCCTCCTCTACCGGCCCCTAAAACCTCTCCCACCTTCATCTCCGATATTTCTACCCTACTAACATCTCTCTGCCTCTGCTCTGATCGCCTCATCATCCTGGGTGACTTCAACCTGCACTTCACCCCCTCCTGTTCCATCTCCTCGGACTTCTCCTCCCTGCTCTCCTCGCTCAACCTCTGTCTCTACATCAACTCCGCCTCTCATACTCACGGCCACCCACTCGACTTGGTGATCACCCGGGGCCTCAGTGTCTGTGGCCGGATGTCACCATTACCGACAAGGCCGTCTCCGATCACCACTTCATCTCCTTCACCACCTCCACCCCCCTCCCCACCTCCACCAGACCCACCACCATCTTCTACCGCCCTGGAAGAAGTTACCCCCACAATCCCTAACCGCTGCCTTGGAGTCCTCTGAACTCCTCTCCCTCTGGCCTTCAACCCTCACTGACCCCTCTTCTGCTCTCACCCTCCTCCACAACACCCTCTCCTCCACACTCGACACTCTTGCCCCCATCACCTCCCATACTGTCTCCTACTCTCGCTCCTCCCCCTGGTTCACCACCCACCTCCGCTCACTGAAGAGCCAGGTGCGGGCCGCTGAACGCACCTGCCTCAAATCTGGCCTAACGGTCCACCGACAAATCTGGCTGGACCTCCTCAAAATCTACCGCTCCACTCTAGCCTCGGCCAAGTCGTCCTTCTACTCCAGGATAATCCTGGAGGCGAAGAACAACCCCAGGCTTCTGTTTTCTACCACATCCCGACTCCTCCGTCGCCCCCGCCACCCCGCGCAGGTCATCTCCTCCAACCTTCACTGCGAGGAGATGCTGGATTTCCTTGAATCCAAAATCAAGGGAATCCGCTCCGCGGTCACTCCCCCTCCAACTTCCACCCACCACCCACCCCTTCCCTCCCACACTCCGACTCCTACCCATCCTCCCCTACACACCTTCGAACCCGTTTCCCCACCCTCTGTCACCAAACTCATCCTGTCCCTGAAACCCACCACCTGCTCCCTTGACCCCATCCCCACTCCTTATCTCCCAGCTCCACCTCCTTGCCCCACTTATCACAGACATCGTCAACCTGTCCCTCTCCTTTGGCTCTGTTCCCATTCCCCTAAAAACTGCCATCATCACTCCCACTTTGAAAAAACCCTCCCTTGATGCGTCGCAGCTATCAAGCTACCGGCCCATCTCCAACCTCCCCTTCCTGTCCAAGGTCCTTGAAAGAGTTGTCGCCTCCCAGCTGCGCTCTTTCCTCTCCACCCATTCATTATTCGAACCCCTTCAGTCGGGTTTCCGTGCTGCCCATAGCACAGAAACTGCCCTGGTCAAGGTCACCAATGACATCCTGACCATCTGCGACCAGGGCTCCCTCTGCCTCCTCGTCCTCCTCGACCTATCGGCAGCATTCGATACGGTCGACCATGCTATCCTCCTCCACCGCTTGTCCTCCCACCTCAACCTTCAAGGCCCTGTCCTTGAGTGGTTTAGGTCGTACCTCTCCCACCGTCTTCACTTTGTCTCCACAAACGGCTTTTCCTCCACCCCCCGCACTGTCTCGTGCGGTGTCCCTCAGGGCTCTGTCCTCGGTCCCCTCCTCTTCACCCTCTATATGCTCCCCCTGTGGTGACATCATCCGCAGACATGGGGTTAACTTCCACATGTATGCGGATGACACCCAACTCTACCTTTCCTCCTCTACCCTCAACTCCACGACCACCGATGTCCTGACAGCTGTCTGTCCGACATCGAGTCCTGGACGAGAGACAACTTTCTTCAGCTCAACGTGCGCAAAACTGAGGCCCTCCTGATTGGCTCACGTCAGCGCCTCCGCACCTCAGGCGCTGACAGCATCAGCATCCAAGGCTGCACTCTCCACCTCTCAAAGCCATCAGGAACCTCGGTGTTCTGTTCGACCCTGAGCTGTCCTTTCTCCCTCATGTCCGCGCAACAACTGGCACCGCCTTCCACCACCTCCGAAACATCGCCAGACTACGGCACTACCTCACCTCTCACGCGGCTGAAACTCTGGTCCACGCCTTTATCACCTCAAGGCTGGACTATGGGAACTCTCTCCTCGCCGGCCTTCCCGGCCCTCCCTCCACACTGCAGGTCATTCAGAACTCTGCAGCTCGTGTACTGTCCCGCACCAGGCTTCGCGCCCACATCACTCCCACCCTCACCCTCGCTCGCCTCCACTGGCTCCCCATCCCCCAGAGGATCGAATTCAAGATCCTCATCCTCACCTTCACGGCCTCGCTCCCTCCTACCTCTCCGACCTGCTATTCCCCTACTTACCTGCCCGTACCCTCCGTTCCTCTGGCTCCGGTCTGCTCCACATCCCCCGCCCCAACCGCCCTACCATCGGTGGCCGGGCCTTCAGCCCCCAGGCTCTGGAACTTTCCTTTTCCCCCAGTGCCTTCGCCGCCTCCTCCCTTTCCTCCTTCAAGGCCGGTCTCAAGACCTTTCTCTTCAACCGTGCCTTCAGCTTCCCTCTCGACTCTCTACCCCTTCCTCGCTCCCTCCCTTCCCTCCCCTCACCCTGACCATTTCCCCCATGGTCGGGTCCTGACCCAACTGTCCAGCGCCTTGGGACGTCCTCCCGACGTGAAAGGCGCTCTATAAATGAAATGTTGTTGTTGTTGTATTTGCTCTGTCCCCGAACTATCTCCTCCTTGAAGGCTTCCCATTGTTCGGTTGCTGTCTTACCTGCCAATCTTTCTTTCCAATCTATCTTGGTCAGGTCTATTTATAGCTCACTGAAATTAGTCCGCTTCCAGTTGAGGGTCTGTACCTTTGATTGATTGGTTGTCCTTTTCCATAACTATTCTAAACCTCATGATATTGTGATCACTATTGTCCAGATGCTCTCCTACTGAAACCTGCTCCTCGTGCCCCACTTCATTTCCCAGAACTAAATCCAGCTCTGCTTCCTTCCTCGTTGGGCTGGAAACATGCTGATCCAGAAAGTTCTCCTGCATATATTTCAGGAATTCCTCCCCTTCCTTGCCCTTTACACTGTGTGTTTCCCGGTCTATGTTAGGATAATCGAAATCCCCATTATCACTACTCTATTGGTTAGAGACACAGTAAAGCTCCCTCTACACTGTGTGTCCACACTCCCAGCTCAGTGACAGCTGTGGAGCCTTCCACTGCATACACTTGCCAGTCATTATGTGATATGTACTGTGTGTTTAATGCTCTCTCTATATCTGTCAGCTTCTCCATCTGAAACACTCTCTCTCTCTCCCCCTCTAACACGCACACAACCTCACACACACTTTCACCCACTCATACTCTCTCACACTGACACACACTTTCACTCACTGACACAAACACACACACTCACACTCATTCACACTCCCTCACATTGACACACCCTTTCACTCACTCACACTCTCTCTCTCTCTCTGCCCTGTGCCCGCAGTGCCAGACTATGACAGTGTGTCACTACACGGTGACCAGGAGCTGCCGCACTCACTGCTGATGGAGTTTGACAGATCCTCCACAATCCCGCGGAACAGCGATCTGAGCCACAACCTGCGGCGGCTGCTGCAGGAGCGGCGCCCGACCTCCACCGTCAGCCTCCTGGAGCCCGAGCCGCCGGGGGCTCCGCACGTGGCCACCATCCGCCGCAAGCCCACCTTCCGCCGGGGCACGCTCAGTGGCATGCCCATCCCCATCCGGACGCCTGTGGTGCCAGCGCCGAGCCCGCCCGAGGCCCAGGCTCAGGCCTGCCCCAGGCCCGCCACCTCCTGCACGGGCAGCAAAGAGTGCATGAGCCAGCAGGCCCCGCGCCCCGGCCTGGCCTACAGGAAACCGGGGTTGTGCGGCTCCACTCACAGCCTGGGCCTGGGCCTGAGCGCAGGGCTGGAGCCTGGGCCTGGGGTACACGGGCAGCCATTCGGTACACTGCAGCGCTCGGCTCCAGACCTGCAGGAAAGCGGCACCCGGAGCGCAGCAGCGGCACCGGCAGGGAACGGACTAGGCCTTGGCCCTCACCCACCGCACCCGGGCCCCGGCAGGACTGAGGCGGCCGTGGCCGTACGCGAGCCCGAGGTGTTATCCCAGGCCCAGGCCCAGGCCTCACCTCCTCCGCCAGCGTCCCCTGGACCCGGGGACATGCTCTCCATGATCCGCCGCGGCGTCAGCCTCAGGAAGACATCTAGCAACGACCGCTCGGCCCCACAGCTGTGGTAGTGGGGAGAAGGGGAGGTGGGGGGGAGGGAGAAGCTGTGGGGTGGGGGGGGCAGAGGGCACATTGTTTCACACATTTACAAGCAGTTTTTTTGGGGATGAGGTGGGGGGAAAGAAACAAGTAATAGTCCCCTCCACTCCATAACATTAATAATTACCCCCCTCTTCACCCTCCTCCCAATTATTGCCGATAACTGCCCCCACCAGCACCGTCTGTGTGTGTTGGGTGAGGGTTGATGCCCAGCAATAATTCACCCCACCCACCCTCCCAGGGGGTTTCAGTCACTCCCACACCTTGCTGGGAAAGGGGGGGCTCTGAGGTCAAACTGGCTTCAGTTTGGTGTCTGTCCCAATTTCACACATTTACAAGCAGATTTGGGGTGAGGTCGGGGGGTATCAGACCCCTCCCCCACCCCCTCCCCAACCATAATAGTTACCCTCCTCCCTCCCAATAATCCCCCATTAACGGGTGCCCAGGGACCTTGAGGCACCAGCACTGTGAGGGGAGGGGGTTTGATCCACAGCCAATGCCCCCGCTGAGGTGAGACGAGGCAGCGCTTACAGTAAACCCCCCCACCCGCCCCCAACCATACCCTGTGTGTGGCGCTGGGACTGTAAAGCAATGACCAGTGTGATTCATGGGAAGCAGTGACTCAGGCGTGAGCTCAGTCCTCTCCCCTCACACCGGCCGTGAATAACGGAGACTCTCTCTCTCCTGTGCAGATTGAGTTGGGGATAAAGTGCAGTCACGGTGACCACCATTCAGTCACACAGAGACCACAGGGGCAATGTCCCACTGGTACAGCAGAGGGCGCTCTTCTGAGGGTATGAATAAGACGAGTGTAGAGGGAGCGTTACTGTGTCTCTAACTCTGACCTGGGAGTGTGGACCCACAGTGTAGAGGGAGCGTTACTGTGTCTCTAACCCTGACCTGGGAGTGTGGACACACAGTGTAGAGGGAGCGTTACTGTGTCTCTAACTCTGACCTGGGAGTGTGGACCCACAGTGTAGAGGAGCTTTACTGTGTCTCTAACCCTGACCTGGGAGTGTGGACACACAGTGTAGAGGAGCTTCACTGTGTCTCTAACCCTGACCTGGGAGTGTGGACACACAGTGTAGAGGGAGCGTTACTGTGTCTCTAACCCTGACCTGGGAGTGTGGACACACAGTGTAGAGGGAGCGTTACTGTGTCTCTAACCCTGACCTGGGAGTGTGGACACACAGTGTAGAGGAGCTTTACTGTGTCTCTAACCCTGACCTGGGAGTGTGGACGCACAGTGTAGAGGAGCTTTACTGTGTCTCTAACCCTGACCTGGGAGTGTGGACACACAGTGTAGAGGGAGCTTTACTGTGTCTCTAACCCTGACCTGGGAGTGTGGACGCACAGTGTAGAGGGAGCGTTACTGTGTCTCTAACCCTGACCTGGGAGTGTGGACGCACAGTGTAGAGGGAGCGTTACTGTGTCTCTAACCCTGACCTGGGAGTGTGGACGCACAGTGTAGAGGGAGCTTTACTGTGTCTCTAACCCAGGCTGATACACTGATGTCTCTCAGTTTGATGAGCACAAAGAAAAAAATATAAAACACAAGAGTATTTTTACGTAACAAATCACTCTCAGTGCACTTTAAAGAGGAGCGTGTATTTGCAGGGCGGGGGGGGGGGTCATGCTTTATGCTGTCGTGAGATGATTTTTGACTTTTGAAAATCGATCGTTGTTTTGCCTCTTTCCTTCGGTCACACGACACACACATTGATAGAAAAGTTAATTAATGCTCAACAGTGTTTGTTGTCTTTCTCTTGAGACATTTCCGTGCTGTCTGTGGGGAATCCCAGGATGTCACTGTTTAAAGTTTCCTTCCTCATGTCTGTCAATGTTACTCAGGGTGAACCGTCCCTAAGCCCTATTCCTCTCCACCGAGCAGTGGGTGACCCTCTCTCCCCCCCACCCCAAGCACTGGGCGAGAACCCCCCCGCCCGGCTCCCGTTGCCGTCGCTTCTCCATTGAAACCATTCATCCCAATCCCCAACCCTTTCCTTGTCCCCTCCTCTGATACTCTTCCTCCATTTCTGTCTATTTCCCTTTTAAATGCCCCCAAAATCTATGCGTTTCCCCCCCATCGCTGTATTTGGGCCAACATGGTCAGGGATCTCCACCACCTGCAAATCCCAGCAATTGCCAGGAGGGCGAGAGGGGCTGTCCCTGAACCGCTTCCTTGCTGGGCTTTCGGTGGGGGGGGGTCCTGGGCCCGTGCTGCTGTGTTGGAGTTGGCAGCTGGCAGATGGAGGGCTTGTGCCCCCCCTGACCATGCCTTGTCGCTCTCTCTCTCTCACACGCTGATACTTTCTGTCCGATCATCAGGATGGTTGGAGAGTTGATCTCTCGCCTTTTTTTTTGCTTTATTCTGTATTATAAGGTTTATAGTAAGAGGTTTTTGTTTTCTTTGTAGTGATTGCTGCAGCCTTGAATTAAAGGATAATGGGGAAGTTTCTGTGTCCTCTTTACTTGCTTCACGAAGTCTCTGGCAAGTTTCCTTACTCCACTCACCTGTTTACCGAGCAGTAAGTAGGAACCTGGTTGTTAGTCGATTGGCGGATTGCTTTTCCGGGGGTAATGATCCCTCAAAAATATATACAGTTTGGTCACTCACGACTGTTTGTGGGACCCTGCTGTTCACAATTGGGTGTCGCATATCTCCCACAAAATCTAAGGTCACTACACTTTACTGTGTGTTCTGTGAAGCGTTTTGAGGTGTCCCAATGACATGATGAGGAGCTATATCAAAGGCAAGGTTTATTATTATTATTCTACTCGAGTCATTCTAATCACAGCAAAAACATCCCCTTTGTTCTTACGCTGAGACAGGACAGTAATAACGTAACTCGGTCACTGAGCGGCAAAGTGTTGCTTCTCTTCCCATCAATATGTGAACAGCCTGTGCTCCGTCAGGTTCAGTGCTACCGTCTGGTGGTGAGGTGTGAGTGCAGCAGCTTAGACGTGTGTAAAGAGTCGCGTGAGCCCAGGTATTGCACTTATTGTTGCTTTATTGCTAGTTTCTCTCCTAAATTACGGGTCATAGTTTCAGGATTAAAGGTCAGCCCTTTAGAACTGAGTTGAGAAAACATTTCTTCACTCAGAGGCCAGTGAATTGATGGAATTCTCTACCCCAGAGGCTGTGGATGCTCAGTCATTCATTGAACATATTCAAGACTGAGATCAATAGATTTTTAAAAACTAAAGGGATTAAGGGATATGGGGACAGGGCGGGTAAATGTAATTACGTTAGAAAATCAGCCATGATCTTATTAATTAGTAGGGCACAGGCTCGAGGGGCCAAATGGCCTTCTCCTGCTCCTATTTCTTATGTTCTTATGTTATCTAACCTTATGTTACCTGACCCAACTGTACAGCGCCTTGGGACGTCCTCCCGACGTGAAAGGCGCTCAATAAGTGGAATCTTCTTGTTGTTGTTGTTGTTATCTCACGCAGTCCAGGCTGACTGCAATGCAGCTCTGGTCAAGCAATCACACCCTCTCTATCTTCATATCTCATCTGAAATCTACATCTTGAACTGTGCCTATAGTCGGGCCTTGGGATGTCCTCCAACGTGAAAGGCACTATACAAATGTCATTTGTTGTTGTGATAGTTGTTCTCAGCCCCCAGTGTGGCATCTAACCCTCACCACTGTGTAATTGCAAGTTGTTGTTATTGTTGGAGACGCTATTCTTCGCGTGAGACGACTGTCTGGCAGTCTTGGTGGGCGTTAAAGATCCCAGGGCACTATTGGAAACGTGAAGGGAGTTTCTGTCTCCTGGTGTCCTGGCCGTCAATCCCCCAAATAAAATTGGTCACTCACTCCACAAAACATAGTCGCACCACTTCACACACACACAGCTGCTCCAGTCGGGCAGGGAAAGGGACTGAACGATGGTTGTTTCTCAGAGCAGCACGGACATGGTGGGTGAATGGCCTCCTCTGCTGTGAAATTTCCCCTGTCTTGAGTGTCAGGTCCCGCCTCAGAGACTGATTTGCTCCAAAATTTAACCTGAGGTGGGATTGTGGAAATCTCCCGACACAGGCCTTGATTTGTGAAGCCGGTTAATTGTAAGAAAATTGCAGAAAAAACAGTGTCCGGGTTTGGACGAGCTGAAAGAATTCTCCACGATTCCGTGCTGTCTTTTGTAGAGTTAAAAGATGGAGCCGGGGGTGGGTGTGGGTGTGTGGGGACTCGGCTCAGGTGACTGGCTATTGGCCGGGGTAGAGACGGATTTTGCCGCCAATGGCCAGCTGGGTGATGACCTGCCTCTCGAAGCCGGCGTGGTGCACTCCCGTTGCCCGGAACGCTCCCGCATACCGGTTCTTCTCCCAGTAATGGTGCCAGTTACCGCGGATGTCCGCCCCGTAGCCGAACACCGAGACCTGGGAGCGGAGACACCGGCGGAGGATTAGAGGGAGGTTAGAGAAACCCGCGGAATTCTCCGCATTGATACGGATATTGTGGGTACGGAAACCCACCGGAGGCCAATGAGCTGTCCCCAACCCCCGCCAGCCAGCACTTAGGGGTGGGGGGGGAAGGGGGGGCATCGATGGCCTGGACCAGGTAACATTCTCACCTGGTCACAGAGGTGAAGAGCGAAGACCAGAGTCAGGAGGCCTGTGGACGGATACCGGCCGTGTCGCTCTGTCCAATTCTCGTGGACGTACTTGAAGAATTCTGGGTGGATGACGAGCACCTGGTGTTGAGGAGAAACATTGTCGGGGTTAGAGAGTCACAGCTCACAGCCTGGGCTGATGCTCCAGGCGGGGGCCGGGGCGGGGCGGGGGAGAGCAATGCGATGTCACAGCTCGTATGACGTGTGTTTGTGTCTCCGTGTGCACATGTGGATGTGGTATTACAGCTGTCAAGATCTCACCTTGTCTCTATCGGCTTTAATGTATCGCTTGACTCTGGTGTAGGTTCTGTTGGGGAAGAAAAGGCAGATGTGAAAGTGAAGCTCTCCCTTTGTTCAACTGCTCCCCCGCCCCAATACCCCAATTGCACCCCCTGGCTCCACCCTCCCCATCTCTCACCCCATTACCCTCCACACGCACCTTCCTCAACCCTCACCATCTCTGAACCCACAAACCCCATCACCCCTTCGCTGAATCCCACCATGTCATCCCCCCCAGTGTGTGACAGAGACTCACACATTGATGTGCCCTGAGGACAAGGCACTGCTGAGCCACATCAGGTCGAGTAGTTTGAAGGGGACGAGCACCAGGTAGACATGGGGCTGCAGGTCACGGGCGCTCTCTGGGTACATGAAGTGGTGGGTGGTCCTCGTGCCCACGTCCGGCTCGAACCCAGCGATCGCCGCACGGTTCATCCTAGGCACAAAGGTCACCTGCCATCAGCCACACACTCATTCTGATCCTTCATACCAACATTGACCCTCCTCCCTCTATACTGTGCATCCACACTCACAGGTCAGGGTTAGAGACTGAGTTGCATGATATCCGCTGGGAATGAGAACTCTCTGGATTGGCCGTGACCAACCGGTGTCTGATGCTGTGTTTACTGGTGTCAGCGCCTTGGGACGTCCTTCCCACATGACAGGCGTGACATATTTAAGGGTAATTATGATGTTGTTGTTGCCTGTGAGCTGTTATGAGACTGACTTACACGTGGACACACTCACCTCAGGACAAAGTCATGCGAATCGATCAACTTCCCGTACTCCGAACCTCGGAGATTTCCCGAATTCCCAACCACGGAGCAGCTGCGGCAGCGGGAGGGCTGGGGGGGGCCTTGGTACGGGTTTGTAGTCGCCCCCGCCTTCAGCAACCACTCAGTGACTTTGACAACCGTAGTCCGGCCAGACTGCAGTCTCTGCCAACAGCAACAGTGAGAGAGACCTCAGGGTCTCAGGAAACCGCAGTGATAATAATAATAATAATCCCGGCATTTGATACAGCGCCTTATCACATTGTTGAGTCTCAAAGAGCGTCACAGAATACATTGTAAATTGAATTGATTGTATATCTTGTGGGCGAAAGGCAGCAGCCATTTGCGCACAGCAGCGTCCCTCCCACAAACAGTCGTGGATTGACTGATAAAAAAATGTTTTAAAGGGATTATTACCCTCGAAAAGCGATCCACCAATCGACTAACAAACAGGTTCCTACTTACTGCTGGTAAACAGAGGTGTGTGGAGTAAGGAAACTTGCCCAACTTTTCGCCCTGCCCGGGAATCGAACCCAGGTCCTCTCGCTTGCGAGCCGAGTGCTGCAAACACTGAGCTACAGGATTCCACAATATTTTCGGGGAAACCAGGATCCTGGAATAGTGCTGAGCCCTCAGGACAGCCCAGCTCAGGCCTGCATCACTCACCATCCACCAGTGCAGGGCATCGGGATGGATCCAGGAGTTTTTTGTGCTCAGCAGCGGCTCCACACTTGAGTTGAAACGTTCGTCAAACCAGGAGTCAGTGCCAGGCTGAGCCACACAGGTCCGGCAACCACATACGCTGGACACGCCTCGGCCCCTTCTCCCCCCAGAGCAGCACCGGAGGCTGGCGTGGAGGCAGAGCAGCAGGGCCAAGCCGGCCAGCAGGCAGGCCCACCAGCGAGGCCTCCTCCAGCCCCTGCCCCAGTACATCCTGGGCTCCGCCGCTTGCTCACCTCCGGCTCACACACACCATTACCATGACCGGCACCAGGGCTTAGGCAAAGGCATCACGTCCAGCCTCTCCATCCGCGCCCCCCACTTCGTCCCCCCCCATCCTCCACCTCCGCCTCCTCCTCACTGAAGAACAGCTGCTCTGAAACAACAAATTACATTTGATACAGCGCCTTATCATGTTGTTGAGATGTCCAAAAGCGCTTCACAGGATATATTGTACAAGTTTAGCGACCGTGTATTTTGTGGGCAAAACACGGCAGCTAATTGCGCATATCAGAGTCCCACAAACAGTCGTGGATTGAAAATGAGCAATTTATTATTGTTTTGTTTTGTTTTGGAGGGATTATTATCAGGCGTGTGGAGTAAGGACACTTGCCCAAGGTTTCGCCCTGCCGGGAATTGAACCCAGGTGTCTCGCTTGCAAGGCGAGTGCGCTGAGCTACAGGACTCTGACATTGAGTGACCTTCAGGTTTTTTGGGTGAGGTCCTGTAAACAGAAGAACAATGGGATTGTCAGACGAGACTCGGACAGAGCCTCAGATTATCGTCTCCTGTGTTGGATACTCATTAAGACAATAAGGACCAATTGACGAGGATCAATGAAAGAAGATCAGGAGGTAGAAAAGCAGGAAACAGGGAGAATTGACTGGAGAGTTTTTGGGTGGACTGTTTGATTTTGTAGCTGAAATAAAAGAGTTTACATAAGATTCTGCAAGTTCTACTTTCTGCTCCTAATTATTTTTGGAGTGGAACAAAGCGTCTCCTCAGTGCTAATTCCCAACCAGTTAAAACCGGCTAAAACTTCAACTTGATGGCTGAGAAAATCAAGGGCACCAACCAGCACCTGTCAATGTTTAACAGTCTGCGATATTACACTGTGTTTCTAGTCGCAGGGAGTACGATCTGTGCACATCCCTCACTCCTGACCAGAGGCTTTGTGCACATTCTAATAATAATCCTTGCATTTGATATAGCGCCTTATCACATTGTGAGACATCTCAAAGCCCCTCACAGAATATACTCTAAAGTATACTGACTCTATATTTTGTGACCGAAATGGAGTGAGTCTCCACATTAAACCCCAGATACGGCACACATTGGATGTGTGTTCCCCCACTGGAGCTCTCTACTCTAACCACGTTCCCTTTTCCTTATCTAGTTTTCTTTGTACATTTCTGGACGTACAAAGGAAACTTGTGGTTTCCGCTCCGTTTCCAGTAAATTTGTGGTAAAATGTTCCACATTCTAGCAAACCACTGTATAAAAAATGAAAACTGACTCTTTTTACCTCTGGTGATAATCCCCACGGGGCAGGACTCAGAGAAGTGACGGGCTCTGGATAAATAAATAGAAGTTGAGACTGACTCTCTGAGTCCAGACAAGTAAGAAAAAATATTTTCCATAACACAGCCCCATTTCATCAAATCTAGGGAGTTACAATTTAGTTTTGAGAAAGAGAACGTCAGATAGACAGTTAGGTTGGTAGGAAAAAATTGTTGACCAGTGTAATGTTATGGAGGCTGCGGAAGGAAACTGAGCGGAAACAGACAGAATTTACAAAACGTTATTACTTCTGTGCTGTAAAATTCTATGCGGCCATTTAAAGCCAAGCCTGTGAGGGAGGCAGGAAATGAGAATTTTTCTTGAATAGAAACTCTTTTAACAGCAACTTACCTGACGAGAGACCAAAAGAGAGAAACAGACAGACAGAACAAGAGTACGAGAGTGAGAGACAGACAGACAAACAGATAGAGAGAGAACAAAAGTGAGAGAAAGAGACAGACTGAGTGAGGGAAGGAGACTGAGAGGGAGTGAGAAAGCAAGAGTGTGAGTGAGACAGCGAGAGGGAAACCAAGAGAGACGAAGACCGAGAGAAAGGGTGTCACACAGAGAGAGAGAGGCATTCACACTCACACTGAGAGAGGGGGAGCGAGAGAGAAAGAGGGAATCTAGGTGTTGTGATGAAGATTGTATGTATTTACCCTCTGGCTGGGCTCTGGGTATCTGCTTGTCGGCGAGGCTGGAGATGACTTGTGGCTCTGGGAGGCTGGCTGGCTGACAGGGCTGAGGGGAGGGGCAGCCCTGCTCTTGTGGGCTGGAGACTAAGCTCACATAGAGGCGATGAACTGATGGCTGCTACTGGGAAAAATTCAGCCTTGCGGGACTAACAGGACTACATCTCCCCAAGGTTCTGCTCAGGTTTCTTAATATATAAAAAAACTTTCAATTAGACTTTGGGCTTTGTTGCTTCTTTCCCTCCCTGCCCTGAACACCATGGTAAAGTTATATTGGTGCCTCTTTTATTAGTAATAATAATTAGCATAAATAATTATCTTGGCTTTTGATCAAAATGTCTCAAAGCGCTTCACAGGAATACACAGCAGGAAATTATGCAGAGAAAAAAATAACAATTATGCAAACCCCCCCCAAAAAAATTATGCAAAATCGCATTATTTACAATTTAAATACAGGTTAACATTATTGTAGTCTCTTTAGAAAGATGTGGAGACCAGATTTTGGTGAGTTTTATATTTACGTAGCAGGCTATACATTTTTGTATTTGTTTATGAGCCATACCTCCCGAATTGCAAATTGTTTATGCTTGACCCCACAGCGTGTACTCAACCCGTGTGTGTGTCTCTCTCTCTCTGTATCTATCTGTGTTTCTATATGTCTGTGTGTGTGCTGGAGGGGCTCTCAGATAGGGCTGCAGTTCCCAGTTATTTAAATGGGCTCATTCCCTCCCCCAAGCAATTGTTCCACCCAAAATAATGTACGGAAGAGGCTCCCTCGGGAGACAGTGGAAGCAGAAAGTGTTAATTTGTTCAAGAACAAAATAGATAATTTCTGTTAGGAAATAATATCTCGGGATACAGTGTATAGTTTCGGACACGAGGTGTCAAACGACTGCCAGGATGGTGGAAGGCGAACTGGATGGACCTTTGCCTTCTTTTGTGTAAAAAGCATTTCCTATGTTCTTATATCTCCTTCGTCGCATCCACATCTCGGCACACACTGACCCTGACCCTCTCAGTGACAGACAGTGACAGCCGCTCGCGCTGACCAGCGTTTGCTGGATATTAAACCACATTTGTAGCCCAAAGTCAACCCAATACGAGCCCCAAAGTAGCCCAAATATTACAGGCTATTTTGCCTCCTTTGGGGTAACACGAAAGTGGCCAATTTTAGGTAAGTGCTTTGAAACTGTGTAAAAAAAAAAGGTCTTCAAAGCACAAAAAAGTTTTAAATTAAACAATTTAAATATTAGGCTACCCGCCCACAGCTGTTATTTTTCACGCCCAATGCAACCAAACCCACGCAACGCGGCGTGATCCCGCCCAAACCGGGCCACAGGGCTGATGTGCGCGGTGCACGCTGGGGGTGAGGGCGCAACACTCAAGATGGCGGCGCCCATTGCGACACCTCCCGGCGCCTCATCCCCTCCCTGTGGCGAGGTGGAGGGGTTATCTTTGCCCCGTACGCGGGAGAGCGGGTGTATGAACGGTTGGCCGAGGCCTGGCGCCCTCTGCCTCCCGATGTAGACACGCGGCTCCTCCCGGCGCCGGTTAGCCGCGGTGCGGGGGGAGTTGGCGAGCAGCGGCGGACGCGGTGCATGCTGGGAGTGGGGGCAGGACTCTCAAGATGGCGGCGCTGCGAGCGGCTGCGGGGAGCGGGCGGCTTCTCCTTCAGACCCGGCACAGAGCCCTGCACAGCCGCCAGGTGAGGCCCGGGACTCCGGGGCGGGGACACACACTCACACACACACTGACGCGGCCCCACCGACACCTTCGCTCCCGGCTCCCCTTCGGGACTCGGTGCCCGCAGCACCGCCGTCGCTTCCTGTCAAGGTCACCTCACCGGCTGCGGTTCCCGGGGTCGGGGGAGGCCGGAGGGGAGGCCCGGGGCCGGGGATCGGGCCGCCAAGCGGGAGGCAGCCGCCTGTCACCCACTCGCTCACCCGCCGGTTCCACGATCCCCGGGACCCTGTGACATGTTGGCTCAGCGCCTTATCGGGATCACTGTGAAGTGTAGTGACTGTTTTGTGGCAGCCAGTTTGCCCGCAGTGAGGTCCCACAAACAGCTGTGCAGAGTGAATGGCTAAATATATCTCCAGGATAGTGTGAGGGAGGCCGTTGGGCTGCTGATGCCTCGGCACTGACAGGCGACCGTCCATCGGACAGTCCGGTCCAGGTCTCCCCAGTGTTGTGTTGGAAAGGCAGCTCCAGCCTCCCACTGCCCAGAGCCTCGCGCCCTCCTCTCGGGGATGAAATTGCCCTTCACAAACCTTGAACTGCTCTTTCCCATCTTGACTCGGGTCCTCCTGTACTACCTCAATCTCGGCTGAGTCTTTCTCATCTGGAGGACATGTCTATGTCCTCAAACCGCTGACTTGAGAGCCTGAGGTTTTTGATGGCGAGGGGGAGAGAGAAGACAGAGTAAGGACATCAGGCCTTCGAGAGGGTGAAATAGAGGGCAACAGATCTTATACCTGAGATTCAGGCAATGTGATCTAAGAGGAGAGCGACTGGAGAAACTGGGAGTGTTCACTTGGGGGGCGGTGGTAGAGTCTTGAAACGAATGACCTCCTGACATGAAAGGTTGTATTTAAATGTAAATGGTGAATTCAGCAGGGACCTGGAATGGTTTGTGGTGAAGCGAGTAATTGAGGATTTATAACAACCAAATGGGATTTGAACAGGAACAGGGCTGGTTGGAGGCCACAGTGTATGTTTCGCATTGTACGTCTCCTGACTTTGGCTGCACAGACATTTCAACAGAAGATTTTATTTAGTGATTCTGGGGGTGAATGGAAACACCAGGCTTCGCTGTGTCTTTAATTATTCCAGGCACTGACAGGCTTGCAATGTCAATCTCCCCATTGCTCGGTGTGAGAAAATGTTGACTGAAAATATGACTTGCTGTCAACAGTGACGATCATTCACAAGGTTCCTTTGCACTCACAGAATGTTTATGCCATTTTGGGAGCATCTTCTTGAAAAAAAGCAAGTTATTTTTAGGTGTGAGCCCTTCCTTGGGACTATAAAGTCCGTACCACGAGGTGTGAATTTTCATCCGTACTGTTCTTGGCAGTTCCCCACAGTACAGTATGAAATAAAGTAATTCCATATCATCATGGTTTCCTCACCCACCTCCCCTCACGTTTTACTGCGTTGATTCCTGAATGTAACTGCGATCACCCAGCATGTTTTTTACCCAGAAAGTTGTTAAACTCTGGAATACACTGCCTGACAGGGTTCTGGAAGCAGATTCAATAAAAGCTTTCAAAAGGGAATTAGATAGGTACTTAAAACAGAAAAATGTGCAGGGCAAGGGGTAAGAGTGAGAGAGTGGCACCAGTTGGTAGCTCTTTCAAAGGCCTGGCACAGGCACGATGGGCTGAATTGCCTCCTTTGCTGTAAAATTCTATGATGCTATGTATGGCTTTCTCAGTGACTTGTCTTTCAGGTCAACATGTCGTTTGCCAGCCTGTCGCGTGGGAAGAAGGTGGCACTGTCCACGCTGGGCATGCTAGCCGTGGGTGGCAGTGCTGTTGCGCTGGCTTTGCATCGCTCTGTAACAGCTGATGAACTCGAGTTGCATCCTCCCAACTACCCGTGGAGCCACAATGGCTTGCTGTCTTCTCTCGATCACGCCAGGTGAGAACAGAACAGTTACAGCGACTTGCACTTGTATAATAATAATAATAATCCTTGCATTTGATGTAGAGCCTTATCGCCACGTTGAGACATCTCAAAGCGCTTCATAGAATATATTGTAAAGTGTTGTGACTGTATAAACCGGCAACCAATTGCGCACAGCAGTGTCCCACAAACAGTTGTGGAATGAGTGACCAAATTATTTTTTTTGGCGGGATTATAGTCTTTGAGGTGGGATGAATGTCTCAAAGCACTTGGAGATTGGATTTAGACCAGTGTGTGTGCATTTCAATAATCCTGATCTGCATCATAAAGTAGTATCACAGCTTTGTGCTTCAACGTATGCTCTGCCTCTCCAGTAATATTACTCCTAAAGATAAAACGCATTCCCCAAATATCCCTGGTATTTGAGCGTGTGTTGTATCTGACCAAACTCATCTGAAATTTGGGACTGAGTAACTGTATATGGCGGTTTTACTGGCTTGAGGATATGGAGAGCTCACATGTCCGGGACTCGTACTTAAGGGTTTGGAGGGAGCGCAGGGGGAAAATAATAAGAATAATCCTTGCATTTGATACAGCGCCTTATCACGTCTTCCAGGCATCTCAAAGCGTTTCACAGGATAACCTGAAGTGAGTTGACTGTGTATTTTATGAGCGAAACACGACAGCCAATTGAGCACGGCAGTTTCCCACAAACAGTCTTGGATTGAGAGGTCCAATTGTTATTTTTTTGAAAGGATTATTACTTCTGGAAAAGTGATTCGAAAAAGCGATCCGTCAGTTGACTAACAACTGGGTTCCTACTCACTGCTAAGTAAACAGAGGCATGCGGAGTGAGGAAACTTGCCTAACGTTTCGCTCTGCATGAGAATCGAACCCAGTTCCTCTTGCTTGTGAGGCGAAGGCTGGACTATGGGAACTCTCTCCTTGCCGGCCTTCCCGGCACCTCCCTCCACAAGCTGCAGGTCATTCAGAACTCTGCAGCTCGTGTACTGTCCCGCACCAGGCTTCGGGAACACATCACTCCCACCGTCGCTCACCTCCACTGCTCCCCATCCCCCAGAGGATCGAATTCAAGATCCTCACCCTCAACTACAAGGCCATTCACGGCCTCGCTCCCTCCTACTTCTCCAACCTACTATCCCCCTACCTACCTGCCCGTACCCTCCGTCCCTCTGGCTCCGGTCTGCTCCACATCCCCCGCCCCAACCGCCCTACCATCGGTGGCCGGGCCTTCAGCCTCTCAGCCCCGAGGCTCTGGAACTCCATCCCCCAGTGCCTTCGCCGCTTCCTCCCTTTCCTCCTTCGAGGCCGGTCTCAAGACCTTTCTCTTTGACCTTCAGCCTTCAGCTCCCCTCTCGACTCTACTTCCTCCCTTCCCTCCCCTCACCCTGACCATTTCCCCCCAATGCTCGGGTCCTGACCCAACTGTACAGCGCCTTGGGACGTCCTCCCGACGTGAAAGGCGCTCAATAAATGGAATCTTGTTGTTGTTGTTGAGAGCTCCAATCACTAAGCTACAGGACTCCACAGGGTAAAGTTGGCTCCAGTGGAGGAACTAGTGACAGCTCAGGCTCAGTGGAACAAGCTCCTCTTTAGTTATAATTTCTCTGTTAACCTGTGGGTTTACAGTCATTGGTGAAGGAACAAAGTAGACGACCGTTTAATGCTCTTGTTTTTTCAGCATTCGCCGTGGGTACGAGGTGTACAAGCAGGTGTGCTCAGCCTGTCACAGTATGGAGTACCTGGCCTTCCGAAACCTGGTGGGTGTCTCGCATACCGAGGAGGAGGCCAAGGCTATTGCTGAGGAGGTGAGTGAGTCCGTCTTTCCGTCCAAGATGAGATTTGTGCTGGTGAAGCTGTGGGATGTTGGTGCTGAGGAACGGAACACTTCCCTATCAGGCTCCCAAGTTGTCAGTGAGCAATCCGCCAGCTCAGGTACAGCACAGGTTAGAGACAGGGCCCTGTTGATGACAGTACAGCCCAGCCTGGTTCATCAACAGGATTTGGTCCAGTGACTGGGGCAGATATACTTTCCACTCAACAAGTTGCGTTTATATAGCGCCTTTCACGCAGTGCATCGTCTCGGCATGTTTACGAGTGGCACCCAGCTACCACCCTGTGCCATACAGTAAGAAGGGTGGTCCCTCAGAGAGAGAGTGCATATTCCATTCCAGACACAAGGAAATTGTGGAGCTCTGTCGTTTTTGGATGCTTTTATGCACAGTGATGGGATTCGGCCTGTTACAACAACAACAATTTGCATTTATATAGCGCCCCTCACTCAGGGTAACGTTCCAGAGCACTTGTTAGACACCCTGCAATCCTCCCTCCCACCCCCGTCCCCCCGCCCGCTCCCACCACAACCAAGGGTAGATTGCATTGAAAAGTTAGGCTGCAGTTGAACGGTCTGAGTGACTAAATCACACTGCACGACTAACAGCTAAAATCCTTTGTTCTCTCATCCCCTGCTCTCCCCCCCCCCAGTATGAGATCGTGGACGGACCTGATGAAAACGGTGAGATGTTTACCCGCCCTGGAAAGCTCTCAGATTACTTTCCGAAGCCGTATGCCAACAGCGAGGCTGCCCGCGCGGCCAACAACGGAGCTCTTCCCCCCGATCTCAGCTACATCGCCAATGCCAGGTACGGGCCTCGTGTAACCTGCTCCTAACAGAATCCACACGCCTTCCCGACTGCCAAACATACCCCAATCCCCCCTCTCTGTTGCAGGCACGGCGGTGAGGATTACGTGTTCACCCTCCTGACCGGTTACTGCGATCCACCAGCGGGAATCAGCTTACGAGAAGGTCTTTATTACAACCCGTACTTCCCTGGTCAGGCCATCGGGATGGCACCTCCGATCTATGACGAGATCCTGGAGTACAGTGATGGTGAGTCTCATTCTAACATAAAAAAATAATGTGGTCACTCAATCCACGACTGTTTGTGTCACACTGCTGTGCGCAATTGGCTACTGACAGAATATTACAGTCAATTCACTTTACAGTATATTCTGTGAAGCACTTTCAGACGTTTCAAAGAAGTGATAAGGCACTATATGAAATGCAAGCATTATTATTATTATTGTGGGGGGAAACGTGAGCAGGATCCCCGCCGTGACTGCATGGTGTAACAGACTCAATGATCGAGAGTTTGGTCTGGCAAACCTGGACATCAGCACAGCTCAGAGGTAATAATGGATGCTGTTGGAATGCAGTGCAAAAGCCAGACTTCTTGACTGCCCGTATGGTATCTTTTTCCTAATGTGCTCTAAGGCCCGAATATTCCCTGGAATCAGCTCTCTGGCATCTCCCTACCTCTCCGAACTGCTTAATCACCAACCCACAACCTGCTGCCTCCACTCGACTGGCTCTGGCCTCCTGCTTGTCCCTCGTGCTGTCTGTTTCACCATCGGTGGCAGGACTTTCAGCCGCTGTGCCCCAAAACTCTGGAACACTCTTCCTCTATCCCTTAACCTTGCCCCTTCCTCCCCCATCTTCAGAAGACCTTCCTCTTCGACCATGCCTAATGTCAAATCCCCTGGCTCGGCATAGCACTCTGCCACTGTCCAGTGCTCATGGACGGTACCCTGTGTGGTGGTGGGAGGGGGAGCTACATAAATGCTAATTGTTGTTGCAGCTCCTCATTGCCACCGGGAAGCAAAGCTTGTTCATACTTTCTCATTTTAGTCAGGAAAAGATTTTAAATCTTAACCAATGTTAGTGAGAGATCTATGAACGTGTGTGCTAGTTTGGTCTGTGACACTGGGACTGATGTGATGGTTTTTCTGTCGTGTGTTTGATCTCTAGGAACGCCTCCGTCCATGAGTCAGATTGCTAAAGATGTGTGTACGTTCCTGCGCTGGTCTTCCGAGCCTGAGCACGATCAGAGGAAAAGGATGGGCCTGAAGGTAAGGGCAGCTTCTAATCTTCAACCTTTACCAACACCTTGTGTTTCCATAGGGCCTTTCACATAAATATCTTGGTAAATATATGGAACAGACTACCTAGGGAGACGATGGAAGTAGAAAGTGTTGATACTTTCAAATGCAAATTAGATAGATTTTTTTTAGGAGATAATATTTTAGGATACAGTATCATGACATGTCTATTTTTCGTCAAGCATTTGTTACATTCCTATGTCTCAATACACCTTACAGAGTTCCAGGGGATGCTGGCCATCAGCGGTGTTCACTAGATCCTGAGAGCATTTCACATAGACTCTTCAGCCTATTTGATCACTTTCCCGAATACCCACCCTGTCGTCAGCCCATGGTAGAGTCCAGCTGTTTGTGTCCGGTGCCCTGCCCTCCTGAGAAGCCGTTCCAGGGGGTCTCTGTTCAAATAATCAAGTTGCTTTTTAGGTAGTAGATCCCAAGTCAGGGTTGGCTAGGTAATCCTGAGGGAGGTTGAGGGGGGGATGGAGTCTGGCCTGCACGTTAGAGCCCTTTCAGTGAGCAAGCTATGAATGGACCATTAAATTAAGCCCACATTGACTGCACTGCTCAGGATGACACGCACACTGAGCTCTTCTCTTCTCTCGCAGATGCTGATGTTCTCGTTGATCGTGATACCAATGTTGTATTACATGAAGAGGCACCGGTGGTCCGTATTAAAGAGTCGAAAGATTGCGTACAGACCCCCGAAATAACACCCCCCACCAGGATGCTTCTCTCAACTCCAGTAGTGCCTGTCCTATTCCACACGCAGACTGGATTAAGGGATGGTCATTGGAGACGTTTTTTAAAATAACGAACAGTAGGAATGTTTGTTCAGTGGCATTCAAACATGGCGCATCGTCAAACCCCGAGCATTCTAAAACTCCTCCCAAGATCAAGTTGGTGGCACAGAATCTAGGGATGTTCCCACCTACGGTAGTGCCTCGTGGGAGTGGCCTTTCTTTTTAAATGTATTTAGAAACTCACGCAAAACACAAGCTGCTGATTTTCACCCTCTGGGGAGCTGTGAGTGTTACTCCCACTCTTAGCAGAGAGATGGCAGCGAAAGAAATTCCCATTATTCACTCCGAGGCTTCTTGGAAACTTGGGGATGGAAGCGCATCCCAACTCCTTTCACTGAGATCTGATCAGTGTCCGTCCCACACAGTGATTAATCTCATTAAAGAATTTAAAGGAAAGTGTGCATCTGTACTGACGTGAAACGGTTGCAATCCTGACATTATCTTTGGTTGAGGAGTTTTGAGCTTTGTTGAGTGTTTTGTGCAATGTCGTTCCAAAAAAAATGCAAGGATTATTAATGCTTGTTCCAGAATGGGTACATTTTTTGTTTTCTGTTTTCAGTCCTACTGTGAGTTGAGGGATTCCCTCCATTACCAGACATTACTATACACAGCACTGTGTAAATATTTAATGACCTGCTTGTTTAATAAATGCTACTGGTGTCTGGTTCGAGTTGTCTGCCCACAGATCCTTTCTCTGTAACCAAGGGATGGAGAATCGTAAAGCAGTAAGAATGTTTCGCCCACAAAATACACAGTCAATTCACTTTACAGTATATTCTCTGAAGCGATTTGAAACGTCTCGAATTTGTGATAAAGCGTCATGTCAAATGCAAGGATTATTATTATTTGATACAGTGCCTATAAGATCCAATGCTTTACAGGTAATTTCTGTTAGTTCGTCCCTACAGTCAAGTTCACTGTATGATTATTATTATTATTGAGCCTGTATATTAGATCATGGTAGATCTCTATCATCCCTATACCCTTGCATCCCATGTGTAGGAAGAACACCGGAAAGGCCCAATGCGCAACATTGTGACTTAGAATTTACGCCGGTGTCTTTGCAGCAATCTTGAGGGTGCACTATAGAGAAAGTACCTAATGGCAGAAACTGCAACAAGACAAACGACAGCATAACCTCGTACTTTGTTTACATTCTCACAAGAAAGAGATCTGATCCTATAACCTACTGTGAATTGCACCTCCCTCTAATGTGCCAAAAGTCACCTAAACTTGATAAAAGTAGATTGTTCAATGCTGACAAAGAAGGTGGAATGATTACCCACTTATGGTTGTTGTTAACCTTGGCTTCACTCTCGCTGATTGCAAATCTTTATTTTGCCTCCAGTCACGAAATAACATGAATTAGCAGAAACGTGTACAGTTCTAGGCAGTAGTATTAGCCAGAATTGATGAAGATGGTAAATTAGGTTTGGAGTAGGCTTCCACTCACTATTAAGATTGCCATTAGGGTGTTGTAGAATGGCTGATACCCTCTGAAGAGTCGAGAAAAGTAGTGAAAATATTCAGAAGTATACAAAATATTTCTCTACCTATAGTTTAGTCACTGTGCTTGATATTGTGGCTTATTTGGTCAAAATATCTAATAGCATGTTACAGAGTTTTCTGTGAAGTGCAGAGACGACCTATGGGGCCTTTTAAGATAATCGTCTTCGGCTGAAACTCCAATGAGGTATTGCGGATCGCTTCATTACTGGAGATGTGATAATTGTGCAAATTAGCTGACATGTTTTCCGACAAAATACGCAGACAGTACACTTTACAGTAAACCTTGTGAAACCTGAGGCACATCAATGACGTGATTATTTATTCTGTGTGATAAATAATCGTGTATCAAATGCAAGAATTATCTGTACTTGTGGTTTCAAAGGTGTTTTTGTACCTTACAATGTGTTGTACATAATACAGTACATTTCTATCTGTTATGTTTTATTTCACCTTTTTCAAATTGATAGAATAAATAATCCCTGCAGGATTATTATTGTTGAGTCCTGCAGCTCAACACCTCTGTTTACCTAGCAATAAGTAGGAACCCAGTTGTTAGTCGATTGGCGGATCGCTTTTCCGGGGTTAATAATTCCTTCAAATTCTTTAAAAAAATTAGTGACTCAATCCACGACTGTTTGTGGGACACCGATGTTTGCAATTGGCTGCCATGCTTCACCCACAAGATACAGAATCGATTCACTTTGCAGTATATTCAGTGAGAAGTCTCGAAAACGTGATATGGCACTATGTCAAATTCAAGGATTATTATTATTATTTGATCCAGTGCTTTACTAACATTACTAACATTTCTGTTAGTATGTCCCTACAGTCATTCTTTACACAATAATTATACGGTGGATTTTAGCCTGGAATTTAACCCTCAAAGGATAATGGTTGATGAACCTGCTGTGGAGTCTTGCCTGCATTTAAGACACACACGTTACTCCTTTACCAAGAGGGCGGGATCAGTCAGAGCAGCTGGCGCGGCCGCCATCTTGGTGAAGGAGCGGTGACGTATGGCCCGCTCTCCAGCCAATGGAAGCGCTGCTTATGACGTGGCTGCCCGGAAGTATGCGTGGAGTTCCGGTCGGGCGCAGGATGGAGCTGTTGACCAGACTCCGGCACTTTGATGCCTATCCCAAGACTCTGGAAGATTTTAGGGTCAAAACTTGCGGCGGCGCCTTGGGTAAGCGGTGGGGGCTTCCCCCCCTGCAGACAGCACCTCCCCCCCCGTGCATCTCAAACCCTCCCCCCACTGCCCCTCCCCCTAATGCAGCCACAAGTGCACCTCAGCCCCCCCCATGTGCAGCCCCTGCCCCCCCCCCCCCATGTGCAGCCCCTGCCCCCCTCCCCCCATGTGCAGCCCCTCCCCCCCCTCCCCCCATGTGCAGCCCCTGCCCCCCTCCCACCCTCCCCCATGTGCAGCCCCTGCCCCCCTCCCACCCTCCCCCCATGTGCAGCCCCTGCCCCCCTCCCCCCATGTGCAGCCCCTCCCCCCCTCCCCCCATGTGCAGCCCCTGCCCCCCTCCCACCCTCCCCCCATGTGCAGCCCCTCCCCCCATGTGCAGCCCCTCCCCCCCTCCCCCCATGTGCAGCCCCTGCCCCCCATCCCCCCAGAGATGTGTGTCATGTCACGTGCGATTGCCCATGTCCCAGAGGGTACATGTGTTTGCCCGGTGTGAGTTGCCCTGCACTACCTTCAGCTCCCCTCTCGACTCTCTGCCCCCTCCTCGCTCCCTCCCCTCACCCTGACCAGTTCCCCCTTCCCTCCCCTCACCATTTCCTCTCTCCTCGGGTCCTGACCCAACTGTCCAGCGCCTTGGGACGTCCTCCTGACGTGAAAGGCGCTCTATAAATGGAATCTTGTTGTTGTTAGTGCGCTGCATTGTCAGGGGCACCATCCATCAGATGAGACTGTAATCTGATCCAAACTCATCATTTCACATCTCCTCCACTTCGTTCCACACTGAAAGCTTCTGTCAGTTGCTCAGTAACTGCACGTCATAAAGACCAAAGCAGACCATGGGGGGATATCAATGTGTTGTCATGGACCCATTAACCCTAGGAGATAGGTGGTGGTGTTGGTGGGGTAATGTACAGCTCATATGATCTGGCTGCCAGAGCTGTGGTGTGACTCTGTAACTATGTATTCTGTGTCCTGTTCCAGTTACTTTCATCAGCAGCCTGATCATGTTGGTCTTGTTCTGTTCAGAACTGCAATACTACCTGACCAAGGAGGTACGTGTGGCTCAAGGTCTTTGCACTTTGTCGTAACTGCAGAATGCTCGGTGTATTTAAATGATACAGGATTGGCTTGTGGGGAAGAAGGGGGAAATTGTTTCTTTTTCAGGGGACTAGGAGGGGAGGGTGTGCTGAAAATTGAGGGGTTACGGACAGAATGTATCCTGCCTCAGAACTGCTGAGAACAACAACAACTTGCATTTATATAGCACCCCTCACACAAGGTAGCGTGTCAGAGCGCTTGAGAAGGCTGTAAACACCAGCCCACTCACCTTGTGACTGCGACACTGATAGTAACTAACACTGACTAAATCAGAGTGACCAGATTGAAAGCATTCAAGATCTACAACATTGGTAGCTCCTCCTTATTGAGGCTTCATGGATTTGACTCTTAACTGATTGTGACCAATGAGACTGAAAGTGTAAACCAATGCCCTGTAATCAGGGTAGTATCTGAGCCTCTGTCTGGGAATTGAAATAGAGGCAAGAATACAATATACTTTACAAACATAAGAATTTGCTAGGTGAAAGAAGACCAAGGTCCACCCATTTTGCCTTTCACCATCCTGGCAGTTGTTTGACATGTCATGCCCCAAACTATATATTGTATCCCAAGATATTATTAAAGGGAGGGAGTGGCTTTGAGTTGTACATTTCATTTCTTGGCCATGTGGCCTGTACAGACCACAGCTGACCACGTATTGCCTTCCCAGATCCACCCGGAGCTCTATGTCGATACTTCGCGAGGTGAAAAGCTGAAAATCAACATTGATGTTGTTTTCCCACACATGCCCTGCGCTTGTGAGTAACACCGGAGTTTATTAAACCCCTTGTCCCCATTCTCCGCCTCTTTGCTCCCTTCACTCTCACGCCTCAGCATTGCTCTCAGAGTTGTATGCAGTTAATGACTAGCTTGCAGGAGGTACAAAAGAGAGACGCTCTGAGCCTGTGAATGGGAAAAAATGTCTTTTCTATTTAAAATGAAACCACCATATATGGAGGTGGATATGAGCAAGGTCATGATATACGGTAAGATGGTTTAAAATATAAAAGCTATTTTCTCCAAAATTGGTTCTAGTATTTTTTGTGTCCAGTTTCCTCCCTTCCTCACCCCCGGGTTTAAAATGGGAGATTTTCTCAAGGGCATGAGAGTGACTCTGCACTGAAGTGATCTGTATCTCCCCGCCGTGTCCCCCTCTGGTAGATCTGAGCATTGATGCCATGGATGTGGCGGGGGAACAGCAACTGGACGTGGAGCACAACCTGTTCAAGAAGCGGCTGGACCTGGCTGGCAACCTGGTCACTCTGGAGGTGGAGAGACACGGTATGATCTGACACAGAATAATCCACTCCCATCCTATTTCCCTCCCTTCCCCACCCCTCCCCCACTCACAGATACACGTAAACACGAGTTGTCATGTGCATTGGGATATAGTATATAGTTTGGGACATGATTTGTCCATGCGACTACCAGTATGGTGGACTTTGGTATTCTTTTGTCTAGCAAATTCTTTTGTTCTTAAGTTTTATTTCCCACTGACACTTGGTCTCCAGACTCCTACAGAAAGCAAACTTTTTTTGAGTAATCTGGGTGCTTTTGCCGTACTTCAGAATCTCCAAACTAGGCTGAGAGTTTTGCTTATATAGTATCTACTTCCCATGTCTGGAACAGAATGCACACTCTCTCTGCCTCTCTCTTTCACTCCTGTTAACCAAGGAACATACCTTGCTAACATAATCCCAGAGATCATTAGGTGCAAGTTCTCAGGAGTTAAGGCTTGGGGATCCTGGAGTATGCATTGGGGTAACTGCTGGAGTTTAAATAGCTAACTTTGTGCAGCTTGCCATTTGTCCAGCTCGGACCATTCTACATGTTAAAGCTTTGATTTACAGGCTTAACAGGAGTTGAATGGGAAGAGTCCCCAGCCTCCCCCACCACCCCTGTGACTGATTGATCCACTCTTCCATATCCCGCCAAGCTGATTTTCACCTCCCTTGCTCTCTACATTTTCTCTTACTTTACTGTGTTTAATGTGATTGTGTATTCTCTGAGGCAGCAGAGACCAGCGCTGGCTCCAGGCTCCTTTGCCCTGATCCTGCTTCCTCTTTCAGAGCTGGGGAAACAGGAAGAGGTGCTTAACTCCACCAAGCTGGACCCCAAGCGTTGTGAAAGCTGTTATGGAGCTGAGTCCGAGGACATGAAGTGAGTCTTGTTCATCGTGCCTTTCACAGTGTGATGATACACTCCATCCCTCGCCCATCTCCACAATTCACGTCCCACACACCCGCTGTAACCTTGTCTGTTGTGTGCAGATGCTGTAACACGTGTGCAGATGTGCGGGAGGCCTACAGGAGGAAAGGCTGGGCATTTAAGAATGCGGACACCATTGAGCAGTGCATGAGGGAAGGATTCACCCAGAAACTCCAGGAGCAGAAGAACGAGGGCTGTCAGGTCTATGGATTCCTGGAAGTCAACAAGGTACAGAGGGCAGAGGTGGTATTGTATTGATGGGGGGTGGGGCGGGGGTTGGGAATGGAGATGTGGTTTCCAGTTAACGCTGTCTCTGATGGCACCTGTGGCTCAGTCACTTGCACCCTCACCTCTGGGTGGGAGGGCTGTGGTTAGCTTGAACTTGTGGGGTAAGCTGACGCTGCAGCGCAGTATTGGAAGAGTGCTGCTCAGAGCTGGTGTCCTTCAGATGAGTTGTTAAAGCGAGGTCCTGTCTGTCACTTCACATGACTTGCGGCTCTAGTAGAAAACAATACCCTCCTCCAGATAAATCTCACTTTGTAGCTGTTCAGGGAACCTTTGCTGTATGCAGATTGGCGGCCAGGTTTCCTTCCAATATCAGTCCCTCCACTTGACATTAATTTCTTGTGAAATACATGGAGACATTTGAACGTGATTCCTCAGTGCAGTGGGACATCCTCCTGATGTGAAAGATGCTATAGAAATGTTCATTTTCATGAGCTGCTCAATGCTCAGCAGTGGATCTGTATTTTGTTGCTCTCTCGCTAACACACATCTTCTCGCTTGTCAATCAGGTGGCTGGAAATTTCCATTTTGCTCCTGGGAAAAGTTTTCAGCAGTCTCACGTGCACGGTAAGATTACTCTCTGAAATAGGGTTAGAGCAGAGAGCTCCAGCATGGACACTATGTGGAGAGCAGAGAATGGGATTAGAGTAGAGAGCTCCAGTGGGGGAGTGAGCACCAACACAGACATGATGCGGAGAAAGAGCAGGGAATGGGGTTAGATTAGAGAGCTCCCTTAGGGGAGCGAGCACCAGCACAGACACAATGGGGAGAGAACAGGGAGTGGGGTTAGAGGAGAGAGCTCCAGTGGGAGAGCGAGCACCAGCACAGACACGATGGGGAAGGAACAGGGAATGGGGTTAGAGGAGAGAGCTCCAGTGGGGGAATGAGCACCAACTCATAGATAGTGCAATTTCTATCATTCCTTATAAGTAAAACTATAAAAAGGTTTTATGTAGAAGCAGCCATTGGTTTCCGGCCTGGGAGGTAACTACATCCATTAACTATTGGATAGAAATGTAGAGGATGTAAGCTCTGGAATGTTCCTTCGCTCTAATGACCCTCTTGGTTACTGAGTGCGGTGTGTTGCTCTCTAACTGAAAAAGGATATTTTTTTCTCCCCTCCAGTCCACGCTGTTGAGAGTAAGTGATTAATTCCTCACTCTCACCCAAGTCTTGCACATCAACTGACAACATTAATAGCTTTCTGCATCCTCTGACCCTTCATCTGTCTTGTAAAACCTTTTAAGAAAGCTGTGAAAAAATCACCCCAACTAAACTCCACTCTCCCTGCCTGTTACTTATATATTGCATGTGTGTGTGTTAACATGCATGAATGTCATCACTGTGTTTGGCTTAAGCCCCACTGTGAAATGCTTTGTAGGCTATGTATGTTTCCCTCTCAGTGTGTCAGTGTAAGCTCGGCTGCCGGTGTAGGGTTGGTGTTGTATTCGTGCTGACGTCAATTGAACGGTCTGTGACACAGCAGAAGATAGCAAAAGGAGTTGTAGGTTTTATATAGAGCGGGCACTGAATCCAGAGCAAAGAGATACACCTTAAACTTGTACTGGTTCTTGTTGGGTCGTATTACATCCAGTTATGGGCACCAGGTTGTAGAGAGGACCACATAGGTATGGAGAGGGTATAGTGGGTATCCAAAACAACGAGGAATGAAACCAAGAGAACAACACTGCTTGGGACGACCATCCAGTGTGCAGAGACCAATGCGCAGTGTGCTGAGCTCTGTAGGTAGTTAGTAATTAGCAGCGAGGTGGCTGCACACCAGACACTGAATTTTATAATTTCTGTGTGGCAGAGAGTGAGACCGGGGATAACCGTCAAGGTCACGAAACAACAGATTCCTTTGTTACTCTGTACATGTTTAATCAGAGCTTTACCTCTTTCTCTTGCAGTTCATGATCTGCAGACCTTTGGAATGGATAATGTACGTACTGTAATAAAAATGATAATTCTTGCACTTGATATAGTGCCTTATCACATTGTTGAGATGTCTCAAAAGCGCTTCACAGGATACACTAAAGTGAATTGACTATATTTTGGGGCAAAACGCAGCAGCCAATTGTACCACACATAGTGAACTCCGGGACGAGAGAGCTCCTGGTTCTCAACAGCTGTTTTTTTTTAGCAGCTTTCTAAACGAGAACAGTGGTAATTCACCTCACCACTCCCTCATGTTAAATTGTCCATCTCTGTAAAGAGATATTGCTTTAATGTTCTTCCTCGACAATATTTCAAGGGCAATATTTCTGACCATTTTGTTTCTGAAACACGTGATGTGATTTCTTTTGGAGAAAGCAAAGGAGGTTTGTTATATCTCGACTGGCTCTGGCCTCCCACTTGTCCCTCGTGCCATCTGTTCCACCATCGGTGGCCGTGCTTTTAGCCATTGCACCCCAAAATTCTGGAACACTCTTCCTTTATCCCTCCACCTTGCTCCTTCCTTCCCCATCTTCAGATTGTGCCTGAAGATTTTCCTCTTTGTCCGTGCCCGTGGTCACCTCCCCTGGCTCAGCATCGTGCCCCGCCACTATCAAGCGCTCTGGGATGCTACCCTGCGTGAGGGGAGCTATATAAATGCAAGTTGTTGTTGAACAGGTAACCCCACTGCTGATGGGTGTAAATTCACAGGAAATATTTTTTCTGGTTTCGTTGTGGAGTAATGCGATCTGTTCCTTTCTCTTTCAGATAAATATGACCCACAACATCAAACACCTCTCCTTTGGGAGTGATTACCCTGGGATAGTCAACCCTCTGGATCAAAGCAACGTCACAGCAGAACAAGGTAACAAGGTCTGAGTGTGCATGCAAGAGAGAATTAATCTTCAGATCTATATATAACAAGAGCAGAGTTGCTGAAGCTAGTGAGTGGAGCCTGGCTGAGTCACAGAAATCAGGACATATTTCACTGCTGCAAAGAGCTTTATTTTATTGTAGTGTTTCAGTCCACAGGTTCAGTATAAAGACAACTATTACCCACCCCACCATTTGTCAGGGAGCTGCAGTAATGTCTTACCCAGAGTGTACCAGCTGCCTGTTCAGTAACACATTCCTGCGCTCTCCGCCAATGTCATTGACACTTGCTGTTTGCGGAAAACTTGCAGAGTTGTCAGTGAGGCATGTGAGAAGTTGATGTTGTAAGACGTTCTGCCAGCAAATCTTTTGAGGGAGACTCCAATAATCACACAGATGTCAGCCCTGGAGTTAGACGCTGAGTTTCACGCTGACTTTCAATAGGGACAAACTCCTTTGTCATCATCTAAGAGCAGCACTGTGGCGACTGAGCCCAAACCCCCCAAATCCGTTCCATTTAACCTTACAGAGACTTTAGCCATTGACCTCAGCTGCCGGGAAATGGAAAGTGCTCTAACATTATGTTACCCAACTCTTTGGAAATCCATTAAGACAGAACCATGATCTTTAAACACTGCAGTTGGTCAAAAGAGCTCCCCATTAAATCTCCATTTCCCCCCCAGAATTTAATACAAAGAGTAAATCATACACTTTTATTTATTCCATCAATAATACAGCTTGAATATTCTCCCGGGTTTACCCTCACAGCGTTTTGGGTAAACATTTGACATTCCCGTGGGGAGCAGTGTTAAAAAAAAACTGACAGAGACATTATTAGCATCGGATTCCCATTCCGATCGACATGAAGGTTCCGAAGGTGCCTCCACTCTGCAGCATAGTCTTGCCCACGCCGCCCAGTAACTCCCGGCCTCTCATCCCCAACCTGATATGGACATAAAGATAGGCTTAGCTGTGGTGTGCAACAATTGAATGCGCCATGCAAGGAGAACTATTGAGTTGGGTGTTTCTATAATTGGCTGCCACGTTTCGCCCACAAAAAATAGTCAATCAATTCACTTTACAGTATATTCTGTGAAGCACTTTGAGAAGTCTTGAAGACTTAATAAGGTACTACATCAAATGCCAGGATTATTATTATATAAAAACAATAATCCTTGCATTTGATATAGTGTCTTATCACGTTGTTGAGATGTCTCAAAGCGCTTCACAGGATATACTGTAAAGTGGATTGACTGACTGCGTATTTTGTGGGCGAAACTCCAACTCCCTAATGTTTTAGCATTGACCAGAATAACCCATCACCTTCACCTTATGATCTACATCTAAGCTACCAAGCAGGTCTCTGGGTTAAGGAATGCAGGTAACAAATGTATAGAATATGGTTAGGGATGAAGGTAGGTGAGAATGTGAATCCAATCACACATTTGTTTACTTTAGAATCCTTGCTTTCATGTAGCTCCTTATCAGGTTGTTGAGATATCTCAAAGCGTTTCACAATTTTTACTGTTAAGTGTATGACTGTATTTGTAGGTGAATGGGGCAGCCAATGAGCGCAAATTTATTGTGTAAAATAGAAAATAAAGCACTACGTTTTGGGAGAGCATTAAATCAATGACAGGTTATGCGATTTGAGACTTAACCTCTGGGAATATCCATTTGTCTTGAATACAGAGTCAGCGTTCTTGAGACTCTATCCAGTGTGAAGTTGGTATTATTTTGGTTTCTGGACCCTTTCCACATATACCTGATTATTTTGCCCACAAAATATACAGTAAATTCACTTTCCACTATATTCTGTGAAGCGCTTTGAGATGTCTTGAAGACGTGATAAGGCGCTATATCAAATGCAAGGATTATTATGACTATTATTATTATTCAGGGATGTTAGCCGATCTTAACTCAAGCGAGAGTTCCATTAAAAGCTAAATGTTTAATAATCCGCACTAAATTTATAACTCACTTCATAAACGTGGTTTATTAGGATTTCCAGCACAGGGAAACGAGCTTGAGGTAGTGACGAGTTAAGGCACTCACCTGAGGCAGGAGAACGTGCCAAAAAGTGCTCCCGCCGCCATACCGACTGCACACCCCATCATGAAGCCCATTTTAACTCGATCAAAGCAGCTGGGCTGGGACTGCCCATAGGATCCCACTGTGACTGGCATCTGCAGGAGTAAACAGACAGATTATAACACACCCACGTCAGGGTCAATTCCATGTAATATATACTTGGGAGTGTACTGGAGACAGACTTCAAACCCCGAAAGGCGAGAGCTTTAGGCAAGTTTGCTGCTAACCAATAGTTGGCCAGTGCCTGCACCTTGGGACATCCTCCCGACATGAAATGCACTCTATACATGCAATTAATCATAATAATCCTTGCATTTGATTTGGAATCTCTTCCCCCGTACTCTGGAACTCTATCCTGCAATCATTACCCTCTCTTGCCTCTTTCAAGTCCTATCTAAAGACCTTTCTCTTCACCCGTGCCTTCGGCCACCCCCCTGCTCTCCACCCCGGGTCCAAAAAACCCGACTGCCCAGTGCCCTGTGTCATCTTACCGACTGGAAGGGTACTTATATAAGTGTAATTTGTTGTTGTCTCAAAGCGCTTCACAGGATACATCGTAAAGTGATTTGACTATATATTTTATGGACGAAACGCGGCAGCCAATTGCGCACAGCAGTGTCCCACAAACAGTCGTGGATTGAATGACACATTTGTTACACTCACTTAAAGGGGCCGAATGGCCTCCCTCTGTGCTGTGGTTCTATCTGATTTGCTAAATTACATCTCTTAATTATTAACTTGTTCACATATTTCCACAGTGTGTGTGTGGGATGGGGGGGATTGCGTGGGGGGGGGGGGGCGTGCAGGGTGTGGGGGAGGTGCGGGGGGGGTCCAGGGTGTGGGGGATTGCGGGGGGGTGGGGGAGGTGCGGGGGTGGGGGAGGTGCGGGGGGGTGCAGGGTGTGGGGGAGGTGCGGGGGGGTGTGGGGGATTGTGGGGGGGGTGCAGGGTGTGGGGGAGGTGCGGGGGGGGGGTGTGGGGGATTGCGGGGGGGGGGGTGGGGGAGGTGCAGGGGGGGGTGGGGGAGGTGCAGGGGGGGTGGGGGATTGCGGGGGGGGTGTGGGGGATTGCGGGGGATTGCGGGGGGGTGGGGGAGGTGCGGGGGTGGGGGTGGGGGAGGTGCGGGGGGTGCAGGGTGTGGGGGAGGTGCGGGGGGGTGCAGGGTGTGGGGGAGGTGCGGGGGGGGTGTGGGGGATTGCGGGGGGGGGGTGGGGGAGGTGCAGGGGGGGGTGGGGGATTGCGGGGGGGGTGTGGGGGATTGCGGGGGGGGGTGTGGGGGATTGCGGGGGGGATGTGGGGGATTGCGGGGGGGGTGCAGGGTGTGGAGGAGCGGGGGGGGTGTGGGGGAGGAGCGGGGGGAGGTGCGGGGGGGGTGCGGGGGGGGGGGTGCGGGGTGTGGGGGAGGAGCGGGGGGGGGTGGGGGGGGTGCAGGGTGTGCGGGGTGTGGGGGAGGTGCGGGGGGGTGTGGGGAGGAGCGGGGGGGTGCGGGGGGGGGGGTGTGGGGAGGAGCGGGGGTGGGGAGGGGGGGTGCACAGGGTCCCGGCTGCTCTGGGACAGACTGGGCTCCCGCTCCAGTGCACATGGGGGTGGACACGGGACTGGGCCACAGCCTCAGGCCCGAGTCAGGGCCGCTGGGCCCGGGGAGTGTGAAGGACAGACCGGGGTCGGGCGCTGGGCCTCGGGGGGAGTGAGGGAGCCTGGCGGTGCCGGTCCGTGATGAGCCGCGGTAGGGACCTCACCTCCGTGTGTGCAGCCCCGGGGCCGCGTTCGTTCCGCTCCGGGATCCGACCTCAGCGTCAGCGGGACCGCGTCACGGGAGGAGGACGTGCTGCCTGGTCACGTGCCGATGGCGCCAGGCCTACGTCACGTGATGAGATCGTTGTGGTCCTGTCACGTGGTGAGGCTGCGCTGTCTGGTCACGTGTGGCTGGCGGTGGCTCGGGTCACGTGGTGATGCTAATGAGCAGGTGTGTGGCTGAGAGGCTGAGGGTTTGGGAACTTTGGGAACAGTCAGTTCGGGGTCAAACCCCATCAGTCAAAATAAAACATCATAAAAACCTGCAGGAGACCGGATAAATAGTGGCAGCTCTCCAGCATTCAGGGAATCGCAGTTCTCCAACGGAATGTACAGTCATTATAACAGTAATGATACACTTCACAATATATTCTGTTTGTGGAGTCCTGTAGCTCAGTGGTTAGAGCACTCGCTTTGCAAGTGAGAGACCTGAGTTCAATTCCAGGCAGAGGGCGAAACCTTGGGCAAGTTTCCTTACTCCACACAGAGCCTAATAATAATCCCTCCAAAACAATAATAAATTGGTCATTTTCAATCTACGACTGTTTGTGGGACATTGCTGTGCGCAATTGGCTGCCGCGTTCGCCCACAAATATACAGTCAATTCACTTTACAGTGTGTTCTGTGAAGCGCTTTGAAACGTCAAGAAGACGTGAAAAGCGCTAAATCAAATGCGAGGATTATTATTATTATTATTAAGAAGGGTCTTCCCTGTGTGATGGCCACTGTATCAGATGATGATGAATTGGTATTAGCAAATTCCGCAGCTTCAGTCACTTCAGTTTGCAGAGTGTTCACCTCCGCACCGATTGGCAACACTCTGGGAGCTCAGTCTGACCGAGAGTCTGACAGATATGAAACTGGGAGTCTGTCAGAGCTGCAGTCAGGAAGCCTTGATGGCCTCGCTTTGTGCTGCTGTTCCTATCAGTTATAGAACTTACTCAGACCGGTGAGGGTCAATGTTATGCTGACAGTATTTAATCTCTTTTCTTGCAGCTTCCATGATGTTCCAGTACTTTGTGAAGATCGTCCCTACGGTTTATGTAAAGGTGGACGGGGAGGTGAGAGCAGGCTTTAAACACAACCGGCCCCCAAATTCCAGAGTGTTACGATGATGATCTCTGGGCTAAATGCAAGTTGTTGTTGTAAGATTTGGTAAAGGAGTCTCCAGCAGCTGTGACTCTGTCTCCCAGCCCTGCGCCTCGCACCTTCTCTCCCTGTTTTCACACCACCAGTAATAAAACAGCCTCTTAGACTGTGTTTTCACTACCCACCCTCCTCTTCCCATCAGTTCCCTCCTCTTCCAAACATGTTTGTTGCTCCGCACTGTTCCTATGAAGCACTCTTGAGACATTTTCCTGTGTGTGAGGCGTGGCACTGTGTGATAGGTGGGATGTTTAGCGCAGCTCTGTGTGCCAGGCAGATGGTGGCAGGATGTGGCGTTGTGTGCCAGGTGGGGCGTGTGTGGTGTGGGGCTGTGTGCCAGGCCGGGCGTGGCACTATGCTGATTTTCAGACCTCTCCTGTTTGCCTCAGGTGGTGAGGACCAACCAGTTCTCGGTCACGCGGCATGAGAAGGTGGCGAATGGGCTGGTGGGAGACCAGGGGCTCCCGGGGGTCTTCGTATTGTATGAGCTCTCACCCATGATGGTGAAGTTCACAGAGAAACACAGGTATGTACAGCAGGCATCACATAGAGCACAGTGTACACAGCCAGCACAGAAAAGTCACAGCACAGAGCACACAGTGTGTCACACACAGCACAGAGCACAGTGAGTGTGTATGACACCCAGCACTGTATTCCCGTGGCGTGCTGTGCCGGTATTGGTTGGGTGTCAGCTTGAGGCTTGGTTCAGTCTTTGGGTGACCTCCCTGGGCCGTTTGCTGTTTTCCAGGTCTTTCACGCATTTCCTGACTGGAGTCTGTGCCATCATCGGAGGCGTTTTCACAGGTACCAGAGCTCGCAGCGTCCACGGGAACATTAGTGACTGTGTTCAGCCAAACCCAAAGGGGAGAGCAGAGCAGTTATAATGTGCCTCGCTCACCCTGGGGGAAGGTGGGGGGGGCGGGGGGGTTCCCTCAGGGCAAGGGAATTCCCTGAGGTCTCCACCCAGTTAGGGTATGTTGCATGTGTCTAGCCGTGTGCCCGAGCACACACAGACAGGCGGCAGGAAGCATGTCTAAGGTGTGTGTGTGTCTCTTTGCTTGCAGTGGCCAGTCTGATCGACTCTCTGATCTATCACTCCGCTCGCGCCATCCAGAAAAAGATCGAGCTCGGCAAGGCTTCCTAGCGGGAGCCAGGGACTGGGAGAGGATGGAGGAGGGCAGCCGCAAGATACCTCACCCACTCCCCACTCCTCACCCTTGGCCACCGGGGGAGGGGCACTCCCTGCTGCCAATGTAACTTCCTCGACTAAAACTGAAGTGTGAGCAAAGCCTCACTCCCTGATGCTATTGATGGATCTGTTGGCAGGAGCGCCTTTTCTGTGTGTGTGTGTGTGTGTGTGTGTGTGAACTGACCGGCCCCTCCCCTCCCCCCACCACCCCAGGGAGGTTGAGTGTGGGATGTTCTCGGCTTGCTGTTTACATTCAGTTTAATCCTGAAGGTTTCCTGTGGTGGGGGGAGCACAGTCTCCCATGTCGCTCCCATGAGAATGTGCCCTTCTGGGGTCCCACTGGCACTGTCACTCTTTGTTTGAGGCCCTCCCTCACTCCCTCGCTCACTCACTCACTCTCTTTAATATCACTGGACAGATACCACGTTGCCGAGCTTCCCTCTCATTGTCTCGGGCAGCCTGAGGCAGTCCGCAATGACTCGCTCCCGGGATGGAGAGTGGAGCCCACTACCTGCTGTAGGAATGTCCACAGTAAATAATTGGCTCCAAATCCCACAACATTTAAATGAAATTGTTTGAGTCCATGGAAACCAGTTCAATTGTAATGTTGCAGTTGCCAGTGTTTCCCACTAGAGAGCGCTGCCATGATCACACGCGGTTGTGTGGCTCTGGCGTCATCTGGTGGGAGAGGCCGGTACTGCAGATGCTCAGCATTGAGAGGCTGTGCCTCCATGGACAGGAAACCTACTGCATTTTATAATAATAATAATAATCCTGGCATTCGAGACGTCTCAAAGTGCTTCACAGAATCTACTGTAAAGTGAATTGACTATATTTTGTGGGTGAAACGCAGCAGCCAATTGTGCACAGCAATGTCCCACAACTCGTGGATTAAGTGACCAAATTTTATTTCTGTGAAGACTGATTCATTCATTATCCCCGGAAAAGCGATCCGCCAATTGACTTACAACCGAGTTCCTACTTACAGTTAGGTAAACAGAGATGTGTGGAGTAAGGAAACTTGCCCAATGTTTCACTCCGCCAGGTCCTCTCTCTTGTAAGGCAAGTGCTCTAACCACTGAGCTATAGGACTCCACAAACTTTATTTTATTCCAAAAGTTAAATTCATTCAAGTATCACAACGTCCGGGGACTGAAAACAACAGGAGCCAATCACACTGGGTGGTCTTAGCCCTGACCACTTGCTGCTGTTTTGAAAAGTTATGTTCTTTAAAGACTGATTCATTCACTCCTCTCTCTTCTCTGTATGTTTCTCTGAACAGCAGAATGTTGGTTACCCTCAGTATTTGAGGAATGCAGACAACAGAGGAAAAATATCTGTTTGAGTTATGGCCGATTGGGTGAATTTTTTTTAAGATATTGTGGTTTATTTGGTGAAGAGGCTGCTGATCTCTCAGCCTGGACCTGGGGCTGAGACCAATGATGTGTTTGCTTACAGAACATTCTCTCCTGGAGCAGTGATCGTTCTGTTCTCCAAGCCACAATTGGTTTGCTTTTAACTTTAACCTTTGTCTGTGTAGCTAAGGGCATTGATCTGGATTACTCTGGTGTAAATGTTCCGGATTTGTTTTACTCTGGATTTTCTCAGTGGTCTCTGGGTTGTTGTTGATCACTGGGGTGGGGTGCCTGTGGGATGGGATGGGTTTCATTATTACTCTGGGGATTGCTAATAGCTGGACATGGTGGGGTGGGGGCTAGATGAGTGCCTTGCTCTGGCTCACAGTTGGTGGCCACTGCATGGTGGGTGGGGTGGGGGGAGGTAGGGAACTGGACACTGGAGTCTGTGAGTTTATATCAATGTTTGGTTTGAGTATTTATATCTCAATAGTGTCTCTTTCCCTCATTGCCCTCACTATAGGCAACATTGCCTCACCCTCCCCCCCCCCCACCCCTCCCCACACCCCTCTTATTCTGTCTCCCTCCTTCTTTAAGGAAATAGGAGTGTGCATGTGAGGAAATAGATAAAGCTGGCCAGACAGCGCTCTCAATGCCAAGCTATGTGGTTTTAGCTGGTTAGCCTCTAGTCACCCCCAACCACAAGCCTTGGCTCTCGCCAACCTCCCAACTCTGATGATGGGCAAAGCGGTGGATGATGTCTGTCCCCCGCCTGAAATTACCAGCGGTGAAATCCTGCTACAGTCCGGGGGAGGGGACGGGGGGGAGATCAGAAAGACGTTGTTGTGTTTTAGGCAGATGCTGATTCTGTGTGAACGAGGCTGTGGGAGAAAAGCAAGAGGAAGGAGAGAACCTGCAACTGTTCTGAATGTGAAATGAATCCTGATGTTAATTCTTGTCGGTGTGTGTGCGCGCGCGCGTGTGTTCATATGTGTGTATAAACGCATTCTGTGTGTGTGTGTACGTGTGTGTGCACTGTGGTGGGGGGGGGGCTATGAAATAAAAATTTATTTTTAAGGAAACCTGCGACGGTTCTCACCCCTGATTGTTTATCTGCATTATGACAATGGGATACTTCAATCAGTGTCCATCGCACTACCAGACAGCCTCGGTGTCAGACTTCACTCGTGCAAGTTCCCTCTCTGAGTGAAACTCCAGTAACCTGTTTGTGTCTCTCCTTGAATTTAACAGAGACTCGAGATGCACTGTACGGATAACTCAACCATGTTTTATTGTTCCTTAACCCTATGCCTCACTTACACTGCCCGGAACATGATAACTGTTGAAATGTTTAGAAATACCATGACACTAAACTATGACACTAGCAGCTTTACTCAAAGTTAGTTAACAAAAAAAAACAATCTTAACCTGGAGGCGAGGCTCTCAGAGCAGGGATGATCCTTTCAATCCTTTCCCACCTTTTTGTTTCAGTAACTCACTCAGGTCACAGACTTCGTGTTGCCAAGTCTGTCCTCACTGCTCTGAACTACATTTCAGTCCCTAGACCACAAATGCGCTTAAGGCGAAAGCGTCCCACTTTGCACAAAATCTCAACACATACAGAATATCTACATTAATAACCCCAACAAAAGAGGTAGAGCATTAATCTGAACAAGACGACCATGACACACAGTGAAGATATTGCTCGTTCGTGCTGCTGGCAGATTGACCCTCTGTTCCACCATCAGCGGCTGCAGTTTCAGCCACTACGCCCCGAAACTCAGGAACGCTCTCCCTCTATCCCTCCACATTGCTCCACAGATCACGCCTGAAGACCTCCCTCTTCTATTGTGCCTACTGTCAGCCCCCCCACCCCCCCGGCTTGGTGTATTGCTCCACCACTGTCAAGCGCCTCTGCGTGATTGGCGCTATAGAAATGCAGGTTGTTGTTGTTAGTGCCTGACCTGGTGCCTTGCTGTATTTGAACATACTGCTCTGGGCTGACTGGCCAAGTTAGGGTGTGCACCATGTCTGTAGGATTCCCTCTGAGATGTCTCTCTTCACAGAGAGTGTGTAATGGGGACGTGGTGAGTGACTCATTGTCAGGAATGTGATAGAATCACGGAAGGAAATGCCGTTTCTGTGACGGGTTGACTTAAAAGGATGTTTATTAAAAAGCATCAAATGATTTGTGGCTGAAACAGTCAGCGCTCGCGTCCTGTTAACCCTTTCTGCACATGAATGGCCCTCCCTCGACTTTCATATTTCTTTATTCACAGAATAAAAGATGTTTTCCAAAGTGAAAGATGCTGTATTAGTGTAGGTTCTTGTTCTCACCTCCTCTTCAAACACTGCTATATCACCCAATACAAAATCACTGCACTTTACAGTAAATCCTGTGAAAGACTTTGAGATGTTTCCCTGATGTGAAAAGTGCTGCAGCAAATGCCAGGATTGCAATTACTGTCATTTGCAAAATATGTAATTGTAATAACTATTTCTTCCAACAGACGACGACAGAGACCAGGAAATCCACTCTGCCCTTGTGGGGCCACATGTCCCTGAGGCAGGCACATCACTCAACCTCCAATGGTCATGAGTTGGGTTATTTGCTGATTGTGTGGGGAGGGGGCGATGTTTCTCTGAGGTCAGTGGAGATGCATTAGCTGCTGTTCTCGCCACCAACCCTGAGCTGGGCTGTGGCTGCCTTTTCAAAGCAGAACTTGTTCCTCGCTGGATGGCGACTAATGGGTTAAAGTGTCTGAAGGAAGGTGAGGTGGGGTCCCCAGCCCGATTCACACGGATTCAACCCCGCCCCCCCCCCCCCCACCTCTATCAATCTCCTGCTAACATCGCTCTGAGGCCAACTGGCCCCAACCACACTCGAATATGCCACATAATCCATATGTAACCCATGTGCAAAATGTGTGTAATCCATATGTGGACCATGTGTTCAGGGACCTTAATTATTGAAAAATGACATTATTATTATAAAGACGTCACCCCCACCAGGTAATCCCTCTGTTAATTAACACACAAGTTACATACAGTTTTACACATGGTTTATACACAGTTTAGAATCTTCGGAAAGCCCTCCTGTCCCGTCGCCCCCCACCCCGTCCAGTGGAATTAAAGGAACGTCCCTTTAAGGTTGATATCAGATTCCACGTAGTTTCAGTCACATGAGGAAGACTGTCCCTGGTCGCCTGGCCAACACGTGTCAGTGTGAACGTCAGAGCGGGAGGGGAATACAAGCTTATATATATATCTGTGGCTGAGGTCAGCAGCCATCTCAAACATCTTATGTCCAACCCACAGACACCCAGGAACAGTCGCGTGGGCCTGTGTAACCCTGGAACATTGCCCACTCTCAGTGACTGTGCAAAATATCATAGTTTGTGCTGGTCGTTATGTAATAATAATCCCTGCATTTAATAATAATAATAATCCTTGCATTTGATGTAGCGCTTTTCACGTCTTCTCAACATCTCAAAGCGCTTCACAGAATAGACTGTAAAGTGAATTGACTGTATATTTGTGGGCGAACGCGGCAGCCAATTGCGCACAGCAATGTCCCACAAACAGTCGTAGATTGAAAATGACCAATTTATTATTGTTTTTGGTTTTGGAGGGAATATTATTAGGCTCTGTGTGGAGTAAGGAAACTTGCCCAAGGTTTCGCCCTCTGCCTGGAATTGAACTCAGGTCTCTCACTTGCAAAGCGAGTGCTCTAACCACTGAGCTACAGGACTCTAATATCCAATATACTCCTACATATTTGATACAGCAACTAATTATGTCATCAACACGTCTCAAAGCAATTCACAGGACTTACTGTAAAGTGTAGTGACTGCCAAAATGCGGCAGCTAATTGCGCATTGCAGTGTCCCACAAACAGTTGTGAATTGAGTGATATTTTTATTGTTGCATTAATATTAATATAGGAAAAAAAACTTGCATTTGCAAAGTAAATCACTTTGTAAACATCTCAAAAGAGAGTCACAGTGATTACTGTGGAGTACAGTGACTATTTTTGTAGTGAATCCCTGTTATACCTGAGGGATTGTCAGCCAGGACACTGCGAGAGAGAGAGAGAGAGAGAGAGAGAGAAACTTTCTTCTATTTTGGTGATAGCATTGTGGGATCTTTAATGTCCATCTGAAGACGGTTTGGACTGGACCTCGATTTAACTTCTCATCAGAATATTAATAATAATAATAATCCTTGCATTTGATATAGTACCTTCTCACTCTCAAAGCGTTTCACAGAATATACTGTAAAGTGTAGTGACTGTGTATTTTGTGGGCGAAATTGCACCCAACTGCTGTGTGTGAGGGTCTCTGGTTGTGGAGATTCACTTTGTCCCCGGGGGTGGCAGCCAGCGAGAGATTCTCAGAAACTCATCCAGCAGCGAGTTTCCAACCTTTCCCCACCCCTCCTC